TCAGAATTATCAAATTTTGATGAGCATCCATTTATCATGTGTCCCGTGGAGACTTCTTGGTAAGACTGGTCAGAGAGCAAGAAGCAACAGGATGAGATTGCTGACCATGAGATTCCTTTTCATGCCTCACATGCAAGTTCCAGTACTGACATTTTGGACCTAATGAATATACGTGGTAGCTCCTGGGCTAGGACCAACAATCACAGCAGCATTGTTGACATTTGTCCTGAACCCCTGACTCCAAGTCCCACTGACAAATACAGTAGGTTAGGTCCAAAGCTCAACAGCCGGGATACACAGTCCAGGGACAATCCAAATAGGCCAAGCACAAAGTCCAATGGTCAGGAAATACAGTCCAGAGTCCAACCCAAAGCACAGTCATGTAGAGGTTCTAGAGCTTCCAAGTCAAGATCCATCAACATAGAAAGATAGGCAGACATACCCCAACAGCCCTACTCCCCTTTTCGCTTTTGAGTCTTGATTGTAGCACCTGAGCTTGATGAGGCATGTGACCCTCACCTGTCCTGAGTTGAATCCAGCTGAGGAATCACAAACCTTCTCTCAGAGCTAAGGAGCCCCACTTGGCAGGCTGTGGGCCCTTGCCTGCCTCAGCCTCCCAGAACATACTTCCCCCTACACCTCAGAGCCCACCTTGTTCATGGTGACCACTTTGGCTCTGATGATGGGTCCTGCTGCTCTGGTCCCTGCACACTGAACCACATCCCCTCACTATCCCCTGTCATCCTGTGAGCACTTCCCACAAAACCACCCTCTCCCCGGCTTGCCCCAGTGGGTCCCAGTTGCAGCTACACACCTCGCCAAGATCCTCTTTCTCCTCCCCAATGTCCTGCCTGTTTGTGACAACCTTACTGTTTTGTTATGGGGTCTTGTTGAGCTGCTTGGAAAAGCATCTATTATCAGTTGCACCTTGCATCATCATCATCATCATCATCATGGTTGCATTTATCAGGCGAGACTGTGCTAAAGACTTAACAGGATTTCCCCACTGAGGCAGAGCTTTCTGTATTCTGTCCTTTATGAGCAGATTTGAAAAAATCTGCAAATTTTTTCATCCTTCTCCGAGGAGCAAAGACATAAAACTCTGTCACTGTCACATAAAACAGGTGTGTGTTTTTTTAATTGGAGATGAGCAGTCCTAATAAAAGAACTGAGAATTGCTAACAAACTCTGTCAGGTGAGTGCTGGCTCCTTTTTGTGTTCTGTAGATACATTTTCGTCAATGGGAAAATAATAAAGCCGGGAGGAAGCCATTGCTGCATTTCAAATGCAGTCTCTAATCAGCACCTGCACAGACGGAGAACTGGTATAAGACACGTTGGCAGCTTGCTAGACAACAGGTAAAAATAGAAGAATGCAATAATAATTCATTGGATCTAAAAAGTCCAGGGAAACACAAAAGCCCTTTGGAGAGCGATGCTAAAGATCAACGCATGCTGCGCAGAACTATTTTTGCAACAGGTAAATGAATGGATTCAGCTCATCCTGCTGCACACAGCACTCATTAGGAAACAACAAACGGCAATTTTAAAAGCAAGAGGATGATGTGTTCCCAAACTCGAGGCAGGTGACATGAAAGAAATATTCAGCCTACAAGTACTGAAGAAGAACCAATTGCAGAGCACATAGTCTATTATTATAAAAGCTGTTTTATTATAGCAGTTCAGCTAGCAGTCTGATTCTTTGCTCTTTATCCCATTCTGGCCCAGAATTTATGAGAGGTGCAAAACAGCCATCTTACAGTGAACTCCTACTCAGAAGTAAACTCCATTTTGTTGGCACTTGCAGCCTAAGGGAGTGAGTCCTTGCAGCCTTAATGACATATATAGAGGTTGTGAAATGGAAAAGAAATATCTACGCTTGCATTAAATTTAATGAAAGGGAAGTGAAAATCAATGCTAACCTAATTTATTTATTGTTAGACATTCTGTGGACAGATGGTTTTAAAAAGATTTTCTCTCTGCAAGAACAGGATTTCAGAACAACATGTTGACAAGGCAGGGAGAAAATACCCTAGTGTGCCGAGTTTTGTACAACCAGAAGTGCATCCCTATTTCCTTTCGGTGCTGAATATTTAATGGAAAGCTTAGAAAAACATTTTATTATACTGGGGATTACCACCTTACAAATACTATATATAATTTTGAAATAGGTTTTATGGGCTCATTAACTATGTACTCCATATGCTGCTAAAGCAGCTTCAAAAATATATGCCATCTACCAACTGTCTTGTAACTTACAGTATATTTTGGGGTTCTGCAAACCCAAACATAATATCAAAGGCAATTCTTCCTGAACCAACTGTTCTTCCCCTGTGGAGATTCCCCAACATTATTACAAATAACCTATGGGATAATGAGCCTCATATAACCAGCATGCTTAAGTCTAAGGGATTAAGACATAGAGTAAGCTGTACTGCCAGGCTTAGCTCACTTTGGGATGGACTAGGTCAGGCTTCCTCAACCTCGGCCCTCCAAATGTTTTGAGACTACAATTCCCATCATGCCTGACCACTGGTCCTGCTAGCTAGGGATCATGGGAGGTGTAGGCAAAAAACATCTGGAGGGCCAAGGCTGAGGAATCCTGGACTAGGTAATTAAGCCCTTATTCCCCTTCAGTCTACCAGAGAACTTCAAGGTGTGAGGAGGGCTCAGCTGGTTGCTGCAGCTCAGACCTCATGGGTCTAACACGCTGCTCTTGAGTTCCTAAACCAATAATTTAGGAACTTTCACCACTGTAACTAAGCCAAGTTTTACTGTCCCGAACTCTCCAGGAAAGCACATGAATTTGACCTTTGGTGAGTTTGCAAGTAAACCTTTTTTAACTCACCAAACATGTGGTCATTTTCTGTACTAGGGGAGGAACTTGGGAAGGAACTTGGAAGGGCATACAGTGGTACCTCGGGTTACATACCCTTCAGGTTACAGACTCTGCTAACCCAGAAATAGTACCTCGGGTTAAGAACTTTGCTTCAGGATGAGAACAGAAATCGTGCTCCGGCGGCGCCAGCAGGAGGCCCCATTAGCTAAAGTGGTGCTTCAGGTTAAGAACAGTTTCAGGTTAAGAACGGACCTCCAGACCACAACCTCACGTATTATGTGATCAGTCTTCACTGAAACAGCATCTGTACAGTCCTTGTATTATCTCTATTACACGTTTGTTATGTACTGAATTGAATAGGATCCAAAAGGCAGCAGTCTGACTGGTCCAAGAACAATAGGATTCAGACTGCAGCAGTCTGATTGGTCCACAGGAGCCACCCAATCTAGTTCCAGGTGGAAGGGAATCCGCAACCTGATTGGCCTGCAGGAGAATCCCGGAATTAGCCAATCACGTGGGGCCCATTGTGTAAATAATGTACAGTATTTAAGTCAGACATTCTGGGGGAACTCCATTCCTCCTCACCACTATGAGCTGAATAAAGAGCATGAAATCCACACTCGACTCTGTGTATATTGCAATGTTTGTTTTTTATATGTAAAATTGTCTGCAAACAAAAAGCAAAAACCATGGTTGCCCGTACCAGTTGCAAAGGTTCAGAAAAGGGAAACCCAAGTGACCAAGGGGTGGAGCAGATTATAAGTAACATTTAGGGCTTTTTTGTTTAGAGAAAGGGTAGGAGAAGACATGATAAGAGGTGCAGGAAATTATTCCTGGTGTGGAGATAACGGACAGAGAGGTTCACCCCCTCTCCTTTTCATAGTACAAAGCTTGAGGACACCTATGTTGCAAGATCCAAGATACATAAAGTATTTAATCACACTCTGTATAGTTAAACTATAGAATCTGCTTCCCGAAGATAAGTGAGGGCCGCCAATTTGGATGGTTTTAAGAGCATTAGATATATTCATGGAAAATAAGGTTATCAATGGCTACTAACCACAATGGTTAAGTTCTGCTTCCACTGTTGAAGGCAGTATGCTCCTGAAACCACAGGGAGGGGAGAGGGCTCTTGTGCTCAAATCCTGCTTGTGGTTTTCCCACAGGCATCTGGTTGACCTCTGTGAGAACAGAATGCTGGATGAGAAGGGCCTTTGGCCTGATGCAGCAGGGGCACATCTTAGATGCCACCCTATATTTCCCCCATCCCTAGGTAGGGCTCCGGACTCCAGTGCACTTACAAGATTCAGGATTCTTTGCCATGACTGTTACCATGACACAAGAGCTTTAAATATAGGTTCAGTCCCCGGGATCTTCAGTTAAAAGGTGTGTTTCAGTGTCAGTCAAGTCAGGTAGCATCCTTGGAGAGCCACTACCAGGCTATTGGGTTGTTGTTTTAATTTTTATTAGGTATTTTGTGGTTTTATATCTTGATTTTATTCTGTGAACTGTCCTGAGACCCATAGCTATCAACGTTTCCCTTTTTTAAAGGGAAATTCCCTTATTCCGAATAGGATTCCTTGCAAGAAAAGGGAAAAGTTGACAGCTATGCTGAGACCCCTGGGTATAGGGCAGTATATAAATTCAATAAATAGTTGTAGTAGTAGATAGCACTAGCCTATAATTTTATTACTATTATTTTTATTACCTATTACATTTCTATACCTCCACTCTTCCCAATTTACAGTTTACAATATTAAAGCACAATAATACACAATATATAAACAACTAGTCTGGAGCATGGCATAGTTGGGTGGCATCGGTCCTGGATGCGTTAGTTTAGATTTTCCTGCATTGCAGGGGTTGGACTGGATGACCTTTGGGAATCCCAACTCTCTGATTCTGTGACGAGGTAGCACCCCTGCGGGAAGCAGGATCAGAGAGACCGTTCGTGATCTGAGAGCAGTCAGAGTATTAGGAGACGTGTTGGGCGCTTTAAGCCGCTTTCGTCGTTGAGAGAAAAACAAACTACAATTCCCATCATGCAGATCGTCACCCGTCATCTCTTTGGCCAATAGCGAAGAGAGAACCTGACGTCACCGGTGACTTCAATGCACGCGGACCAATCCCTGGGTCCGTTGTGCGGCGCACGCTGAGCGCGAAGGAGGAAAGCGGCGGTTGGCCGTTGGCGGCGGGCGCGAAGGCGACGCGCGTTTTGAACAAAGCGGCGGCAGAGCTGAGCGAGTCGGGAGGCCGCGCGCGGGGCGTGAGTTGAGTCGCAGCCCCGCTCCGAGAACAAGGCGACCTGGACACGGACCCTTGTTCGCTGCCGGGAGACAGGATCGGGTTTGCAGCCGCGGCGTCCCTTGGTATGGGGGGGGGGAGGAGGACTCGTCTATCGTTATATAGATATGTAGTGTGTGTGTGTGTGTGTGTGTGTGTGTGTGTACACACATATAATGGTGTGTATAGATAGTGGATATTATGTGAATGTGTGTCTGTATATGTGTGTACGTATATGCAGTGTATGTATATGTGTAGTGTGTGTGTATATATAGTGTGTGGATCTATACAGTATAGTATATCTGTGTGTGTATGTATATATGTGTAGTGTATGTGTATATATATAGATAGATAGTGTGTGGCTATGTATAGTATATATGTGTTTTTGAGTGGTGTGTATATAGGGGGTGGGTGGGCGCGCGTGCGTCTCCATACTTAGGGGGCTGGGGAGCCTCTTACGATCCCTGCTTAGAATCATAGAGTTGTAGATTTGGAAGGGACTCCAATGATTAAAAACTTATTAGAGAAACATCGTCATTAACGTCGTGAGGGTCTCATTTTCAGGAAGATTCTTGAAAGGAAGAAAGTGGCCGGTCAGAAAGCAGGACTGGCTTTTTATTTACTCCGCCAACTGGATTTCAAAGAATCATAGAATTGTAGGGTTGAAAGGGACCTCAGATGTAATCTAGTCCAACCCCGTGTAGTGCCGGAATATTTTAGCCCAACGTGGGGCCTGAACCCACAGCCCTGAGATTCAGAATCTAATGCTCTACCAACTGAGCTATCCTGAGGGTGAACAGTTTCATCTCTTCTTACATATGGTTTGATTTTGCTACTGGATTTCTTCCCCTGGAAAGTTTCTTTGACCCATGCCCCTTTTTTAAAATGGTAAAGCTGGCAACACCTGGATGGAGTTGTGCAGCTTGTCTTGTGTGAGGGGAGGGACTTACACTTCCCTACAGCTGTAGTTGAAGGGAGCATCTGCACCCAAACATTGCCAATGGCGGTGCAAGGAGCATCAGTGGCCAAGCTAGTTTGCCTGCTGCGATCATATTCCTGGGGAAACTTGACCTAGTAAGTCATGCTCTGACTCCTTCCAAGCTGAATTATTACCACTGTAAGTAAGGTAGCTTTTAAAGATGGTTTGGAAACTCCGTTTGGCACAGGATGCTGCATATTGCAGCAATTCTGTACTGGTAACATATATTGGGTTTGGGACTTGTCTATGCGAAGGGTTGCCTGTTCATACAAAACCTTATAACAGAAAATCAGGCCCTGCAGTCTCACCCATCACTAAGAGGCAGTTACCAAGAGCAAGGCTTTCTTGGCAGTTGATGAAACTCACTCCCACTAAAAATTTATTTGGCTCCATCATTATTTAGTATTTAAGGAATTAAGTTGTATTCATTTTGAAGGGTTATGTGTGTGTTAGGATTAATTTTATATGTTTTGTCATGTTGAGAATTACATAGGGTCTTGTGCAAGCTTTTATGGCTAATGATAGCATTCAGTTGTAAACAGCCCAACACATATTCTGATACCTAGGCTTTTGCCCTTTAAAATCTAAATGACTTGGATACATGGGATTTTTCAATAAGCAATTATTTTACGTTCGCCTAGGAAATCAGCAAGCCTGTCTGTCTACCTGGAGAAACTTCTGAGTGACTATACCATAATCTATTTTTAGAATCATGGCCCAGGAAAAAGGTGATGATGAACTGGCAAAACTTGCAGAACACATGAAGGAATTATGGACTAAGTTCAAAACCACTTGTAGCAATGAGAAGATTGACCAGACGCTGAGGCTGAGTGATTTATGCATGGAGTCTTTATGCAAACTTTCAGGTACAATTTTATATGGGTTATTGCTATTAAATTATTGTTAACTGACACTTCCTACCACGGAGGCAAAGGTGCTCTACACAGAAACAGTTTCCTATGTGCAAGGGATGCTAAACTGCAATTCTGAGAAAGTGGTGTTCTTTAAAACATTTGTGGAATGCAGGGCACACCCTAGTAGCAGTCCCCTTCCATGGCTGAGAAGCTGTTGGGAGGGAAGCTGGTGGGGGAGAAAGAAAAGACAAATTGGGTCCCATGTCATCCCATCTCCTGCACTTGTCTCTCAGCAATGTTGGGTTGGGGAGGCATATCTGGGTATAAATAAAATTTGGTGAGGACCAAGACTTTCAGCGTAGCTTATCAGCAAAAGTTATCTGTTCTGTATACATTGTTATAAACCAGCACAAATGTTTCAGGAGTGGGCTGGCAAATAACTCTGTTTTGTTTTGTTTTTAATTACAGATAAATGGTCGAACAGATTAATAGATGGGGACAAGATGATCACTAAATTTCATGAGTACACAGATGGTAGAGTATGAGTTCATGAAATATTTTTGCATGAGTACATACCTTCTTGTCTCCCCTTTTCTGCAACCCCCACCCTGTACACAAACTAACTTGATGCCACCTTCTTCCTAAGCACCCTTTTCACCTTCTGCCCAATAATGAAGCAAATAGCCCCTCCTATTCTGAAGTCACTGTCATACTCTTTCACTTCGCAATCATGGCCATGCTGCCCACTCCCTCCTTTTTTGCGAACTCCCTTTGCACTCCCCCATTTTCATCTTCACCTCCCTTTCCCTCCCCTCCTTTTCTCAGCTCTTGCTTGCACTGAGACTGCCCCCATTTCCATGCCTCTTCCTCCCTCCAATTCTATAGCCCTCTTACGTTTGCAGACAAATCTTACTGTATATTTAAGGTGTATAGAAATCTTAGAGCGAGCCTGTCACTTAGCTTGTTTAGTTAGAGACGGTTAAATAATGGATGTTGAAAAGATAATGAGTGCTTGCTTGTTAATAAAATACCGTATTTTTCGCCCTATAAGACGCACTTTTTCCCCTCCAAAAATGAAGGGGAAATGTGTGTGCGTCCTATGGGGCGAATGCAGGCTTTCGCTGAAGCCTGGAGAGCGAGGGGGTCGGTGCGCACCGACCCCTCTCGCTCTCCAGGCTTCAGGAAACTATCCGCTAGCCGTGGGAGACCCAGCTCTCCCAGGGCTAGCGGAGACCTTGCCAGCACCTAGAAGCTTGGGGCGCGCTGAGCTCCGCACGCCCCAAGCTTCGGGATTAGCGCAGCGGTCTGCTAGCCCTGGGAGAGCCGCACAACGTCGCGGGGCTCTCCCACGGCTAGCGGAGACCTTGCCGGCACCCAGAAGCTTGGGGCGCGCTGAGCTCCGCACGCCCCAAGCTTCGGGTTTAGCGCAGTGCTCCGCTAGCCCTGGGAGAGCCGCGCGGCTCTCCCATGGCTAGCGGAGACCTTGCCGGCACCCAGAAGCTTGGGGCGCGCTGAGCTCCGCACGCCCCAAGCTTCGGGTTTAGCACAGCGCACCTGGGGGGGGGGAAATAAAATTTTTTTCCCTTTATTTCCCCCCCAAAAAACTAGGTGCGTCCTATGGGCCGGTGCGTCCCATGGGGCGAAAAATACGGTACCTGTTCTAAATGGCTACATGGAATCTGGAACTTAATGTAGAAGACAACACATAGTACTATGAGTCAAACAACATTTGAAGCAGCTAAGGAATGGAAGATGGAGAGGTTTGAGTAGAGCAGGGATAAAGCAACACTGGGGGGAGGGGAGTGGCAGTTTTGAACCATGGCTGAGGTTTGAGTAGAGCGAGCGAAGGTGGGGGACATGGGAAAATGTGGTGGTTGAAAACAAGGTTTGAATATAGTGAGAAGGGAGTTGAGAAATGCTTTGTTGTGTTAGCTTATAGATATTGGCTTCCAGAGCTGGCCCAGCCATTAAGCAGGGTGAGCCCACGGCCTCAGGTGTCACTCTTGCAGGTACCCTGCTTTGCCCCTCTGCCAGCAGCAGAGAAGCACTGCCATCAGTGCCAATTTTGGATAAGATCACATCCATTTTATGCGAGATCTCACCTCAAATCAGTGAGATATTGCCTGAAAAAAGCACCATCGCTTCTCTGCCATGGCAAATACGGCAGGGCGTGCAGTGTAACAGCAGGGCAGGGTGCCACTTCCCGTTTTGCCTCAAGCGGCAAAATAGGATGTGCTGCCTCTGTTTCTAAAATCTAAAATGTCAAACTGTTGTTCTGTTACTAAAGATTAATCAGCAGACTTTGCATTTATGGGATAAGAGGACAGGTCCTTGTCTGGATTAGAAAGTTGTTAATGAGCATGAAGCTGATTATAGGAATAAGTGGACAGTTCTCACAATGGTAGTATATAAGTGGTGGGGTCTGCCAATTATTAATATCAGTAGCAATGCTTTTCAACTTGTTTGTAAATTATCAGGAATATGGGGTGAGCAGTGAGCAAAGTTTTACAAGTTCTCCCTGTTGCATGTAGAAGCCTGTCAGAAGAACAAATCCATTGAGGAAAAACAAGAGAAATTATCCGAAGTACTTGCTGACCTTAAGGATGGCAGAAAGGAAGAGGCAGACTTGATGGCTACTATTCAAGAGCTCAGAGAAGAATTGATCATAAAAAGTAAAAGTAAGTCACAATCAAAATGGTGATAATGAATTCTAGTTCTGGAGAGATTGGAAAATGCCATACTATTTGAGAAATGTGTGGCAAAGGGCCACATCACGTTAGTTTAACTCCATGAAGATGATTTCCCCATAGTGAAATGTGTACTAAAATGTATGATATATTTGCCTGTGATTTATAAAAATCTGGCAGCTTATGCAAGTGTCACTTCTGAATAAATGCATTAAAATATGACACTTTTAGGAGCTTTACAAGTGTGTTACATTTAGGGCAATAGAAAGGACTATGACTGCAATCCTTGGCATACTTCTGAGTAGATATACATAGGATTATATAGTAAGACTTGCTTTCTAACTTGGGAAGCAAAATGACCCATCAAAATACCTTAATATAAAAAAACAAAACATTGGTGGGAAAGATGTATTCATATTAAAGTATTCAGTTGAGTAGGAACAAGCCACATCAAGAAAATGAAATTTTGATGGGGCAGGTGGCTTATTAAATAGTGTGTGTGTGTGTGTGTGTGTGTGTGTGTGTGTATAAAAGCATGGATTAACTCCTCATTTGTAGAATTCAGACGAGGCAGCAAACAAGAGAGGCCATGATTTGATAGGTTTATCAAATACTTTTTAAAAAAATACAGCTTCAGGTTAATGGCATGGATGAAAAAAATACTGCGTCTTATTTTGTTTAAATTTCAGTTAAAAGCAAGCCCCCAGAAGAAATCATGGAAAGACTTCATAAGTCTGAAAAACTATTTAAAGAGCGGCTTGGGTTAGAAATACGCAAAACTGGTGGTAAGACTGATGTATTCATTTCTATAGTTTCAGGGTGTGACTAGTATTGTTTTGCTGTAGCCAAATTAATCCATTAACTGCCCCAATAAAAAGTGCAACAAGTGTGAACTTGAATAGAAACAGTTTCCTATGCAAGTCTGCCCTGACACCTGTACAAAAGGCTGCTGTAAAGGAGAAGGCCATTTCCTCCAGCATATACTTGTGTGCTGCAAGTGCATTGTCTAATGGATAATTGGTGCTGATAGTTCCGGTCCTTTCTGGGTCCTATATAGATGAATGAGAAGCAGCCACCACAACTGTTCAGTGCTGTCAGTAATCTCATTTTACAGGGGCAGCAGGGAAAAGAGGATTTTGCAATCATGGCAACAAACAGGTTGCTTTTTTGTTCACAAACCAGCTTTTCGAGATGGAACACCCCAGCATTACATCATGTGTGATTACGCTATCAGTTTTCTAAGTACCTAAACCAAAATGATGCATGCTTCTTTGGGGGGGGCGGGTTCATGTTGCCTATCCAATCAATTATCACAATCTTGGATTGTTTTACTTGCGTACTTCCATAAGGAAGAGGCCAGTAATTCGGGTTATTGTACACATTCTCTCTTCCCTTCCAAATGCACTTTTCATTGAGCAATATACTGTGCTAGGTATATGGAAAACGGGTAGGATGGTGGCATTATATAGATGATAATGATATAAGTCATCAGTTAGGGCGATATCAGTCATCAGAGTAGGAATCGTATTCACTGAAGAGGCGCATGATCTAATGAGGCCTCTGCTCATGGGAAGGGCTGGAAATGATTTTTACTAGTTTCCCCTGCAACCTCCTCTACCAACTCTCATGTGGTTTGAAGCTCCCTCTCACTTGGAGTGGGGGGGGCGGGGATTGATGAAACTTGCCTTTCCCCATTCTGTGAATCAGAAGCATCCCATGAGCAGAACTCCATCCGTGGATCTCTGAATCCAGCCCCCCTAATCTTCAGAGCGTAATTTGAACAAAATAGGATGGCTGGTGCTCTCTAGACTGAGCAGATACATTTCTATGTAATGTGAATCCTTTAACTTGGTAAAAATACAGTAGCAGTTTAAGACTTAGTAAAATGTTGCAGGGACATGAAACGCATGCAAATGAATGTTACCTGACACACTTAACGAAATATTGTTTTTGCCTTCAGCAAGTCATTTGCAGTTTATATTCCGTTGTGTTGACCACAAAGATCTTGAGAAACCATACATACTTACCCTTACCATAAATGAAGAGGGAGCTTATGAAGGTATGTTTAAAGTTTCTGGGTACTGTTGCATTTCATAGTGGAACTGTTTTCTATAAATCTAATCTCAGATCATCATTCTCTCTCCACACACTGTAAAAAGGCATTAGCGTTTAGATTCTGCTTTTAAAAATCATCTAATCTTTGCAGCAAGAACTGTTACCTCCAGTATATTAAGATTCACTAACTTCATAGTTTGGATAAAGTAGCAACTTATGTAACAACTTATGTTTTTCACTATTTTCTCCTAGTGGTTTCTTGTTTTCCTCCTCTGGACTGTATAGAAGAACTGCAGCAAAAAGTGAGGGAAACCAGCAATTTTTCTGCATTTATTGCTAACGTCAGGAAAGCCTTCATCGCTTTGACTTATAAATGATATGTTGTTATATATGTAAATCTGTCTGGATATCTTGTATGTTTAAATAAAAGAAAGTAGGCATTTATCGTAACTATTTGACCTTCAGATAGAGTTTGAGTTGCACATGGGCTATGCTGCCTCTGCTTTTCATTAAGACAGATCAGATCCTGGGCTCCTCAGATTTGAACAGGGTTGCATTTGCAGATCAAAAAGTTTTGCTTGATTTAGTAGCACCAGTTTCTAGGTTACCAGCCCCCCCCCCCCGCCCAGGCAGGGCAGATGTCATTTCCCCCTAAAGCCTTCTGTTTCATTCAGAGCTGCCCATGGAATGTGGGCACATCAAACTCAGTCTCTCAACAAGGTATAGTAAATGTCTGCTTTCACTGTATTACTCTTAAAAAAAACAAAACAAAAAGTTTCCTGCCCAGTACAAGCTAACACCAGTCCCATTAAATGACAAATATCAATATTGTGGTTCCTTAACAATGCAATCCTATACATGTCTACTCAGAAGTAAGCTTCAATGAGTGCAATGTGATTTACTTGGAGTGAACTGTGTACAGCATTGCAACTTTAGTGCTGGTATCACTGTTTAAAAAAAAATTAAGAAGGAATTTGGTATTACAATTGTTTTTAATTATTTACGATAATGACAATAATTTAACGAATGAAAGTTGAGTTTTATATAATGCCTTTCAATATTTTATTTAGAACATGAAAAAGTTCTAAACAAAGAAAGAGCAGGCACTTAGAGAAGCTTGAATTGATGTCTTGTCAAAGTGAATAAATCCATATTGTTAGTTGCATTTGCAGTCTGTTCCAGTTGTGGTTTTTCAGTTTAAAAAGACGTTTCGTCATCTTCATTGAGGCTCCTGGTGGTAGAGGGAATTAATTCTTCCACATATGTAGCAGGGAAAATACCTGTTTTCCCATTGAGAGAGCCATACCACCATCCATCCTCTTCCTTCTGGTGAATTTCAATCACATCACCTAATAAAGGAATGTGCATAGTGTTACTTTAACTTCCTTGGTCAAATAAACCAGATCTTAGGGGCAGTTCACACAAGTTTCTTAAGGAAGCTACATGGCTTTAGAAAGTACTTTGTCTCTATCATCCTTCAAAAGAACAGAAGGGTTTCTCTGTGGAGGCCAAACCAGATAAACCATTCTTGAGTATGGCTTGTGCTTTTAAGTGTTCTTCCATATGAATGCTTAGAGCCAAACTAGATGGAGAGTGGGCAGGTTTTAGTCCTTCCCCCAGGAGTTTATTTCAGCATAAAGTTAAAACTCTACCCCTGGTTTTGTAGCCAGAAATGCTACAAGCTAGTCCCTCTGTTGGCCACTGAGAACAGGATGCTGGAGTAGATGGGCTTTGGGTCTGATCCAGTGGGGCTTTTCTCTTACATTGAGATTAGAGGAGGGGAAATGTTACCGTTACCTTTATTCAAGCAGAGCTCGTCCTCCCTTTCAGCGTGGTAATCATATAAAGCTGTACAAGTTCCATACACGGAATCACCATTCTCATTGCTAACAGCTACTGGAAAGTTGGGACAAAAGTGATAATATTTATGGCAGCTATAACAAATACAGTCTTGTGGTAATAACTAGCTCTTTTAAAACAACCCAGTTATAGCTCCTGAATTACCGTATTTTTTGCTCTATAAGACTTTTTCCCTCCTAAAAAGTAAGGGGAAATGTGTGTGCGTCTTATGGAGCGAATGCAGGCTGCACAGCTATCCCAGAAGCCAGAACAGCAAGAGGGATTGCTGCTTTCACTGCGCAGCGATCCCTCTTGCTGTTCTGGCTTCTGAGATCAGAATATTTTTTTTCTTGTTTTCCTCCTCCAAAAACTAGATGCGTCTTGTGGTCTGGTGCATCTTATAGAGCGAAAAATACGGTAATTTTTTGAGATGGAGAGATTTGAAAACAGCTTGGATCTGAAGGGCCAGGTGTATTTTGTTCCATTTTAGGTATGTTGACCCCTTTTAAATTATTTAAGAAAACTGATGTTTGATTATAGTTTCCATTTTGGCCTGGCAGTTGTACTGCTGTTTTCCTTTTTTGCAGGGAAAATTATTTGCTTCTGGACAGAAAAAGTACCATACTGTATAACTGTATGTGCGTATTTCTAGAACCTGACAGCCCCATTTCCCACCATCATGATAAATTTGAAGGACTGGAGGGTGGCAAGCACTCAGAAGATGCAGAGCCTCACCACGGAGGAACGGGGAAGAATAATCCTATTATTATTCTTTAGAAGACATTTGAAGGAAGCCCTGTCTGTATAGGGAAGCCTTTTAATGTTTTATTATGTCAGATGGGTGGGGTACAAATAATAAAATCATCTTTATCATCATTACTAACACAATATTTGAGCCCCCAGAAGGCTCAGCTGCTTTTTATGTTTTTAATTTGTACCAAAACTGTGAGAGACATCTTACTAGCTAGAAACCTTTCACTTGCTCCTCAGCTTTCTACTGTTACAGTGGTACCTCGGTTTTCAAACGTAATCCGTTCTGGAAGACTGTTCTGAGTTCTGAAACGTTTGAAAACCAAGAACTCAATAGCCAACAGCTAGGCCTCAGAATCTTGCACTCAGTTGTGTGGCATGTTCAACTTCTGAGGCATGTTCAAAAACTGAAGCATTTACTTTCAGGTTTACAGTGTTCCAAAACCGAAATGTTCGTCAATGGAGACGTTAAAAAACCGAGGTACTACTGCACCAGAATGGCGGCCATTTTGCCAACTACTGTATGTGATTATGAGAGAGAAGAGAACCCTAGACTTCACATGCTGATCCTGCAATGGATTGTGTTCTTACCTGGTGGACAACTCCTGTTAATTCCTTCTTCACTGGTGGCCCCTGTGCTCAAAGTTTGCTTAAAATGTTTCTTCTTAACAGGGCGGGTGATTGCCACAGAGTGATGCACACAGTCCTAACAATTTTGGGGGAAAGAAAAAAAACATTGTTAACAGAAGAAATGCTAAAAATTGAATTGTTTTGGGCAAAAGTACTGTACCTAAAGGCACGTGAAAATAAATATACTTGAACAAAGCAGGGGTGCAGTTTGCACATAATGCTAAGCCAAACTATAGCTAAATGTAAACATGTAAGCATTTGCATACTCTGAACAAATGTTGGCTATTTCACTCTTCCCCAATTGCTAAGATATGCTTTGATAGTCTCCCCCTCCATATGTTATGGTGGTTACTTCAGAGAAACCCCAGACAAACAGTTATAAATTCTTACATGAAGCAGCTTTCCACAGGATTCTGTTCATAATAAGTCTGCATCTTTACAAGTAACACTCATAAACTATATCCCTTATCACTTTTGAAGTTGCCAGTAGTACATGTGAAAAGGATCTAGGGGTCTTTGTAGACCACAAACTTAACATGAGTCAACCGTGTGATGCAACAGCTAAATAAATAAATAATGCCAATGCTATTCTAGGCTGCATAAACAAGTATAGTGTCCTGATCAAGGGAAGTAATAGTCCCTCTATATTTTGCCTTGGTCAGACTACTGTGTCTAGTTCTGGACACCCCAGTTTAAACAGAATATTGACAAGCTAGAATGTGTGCAAAGGAGGGTGACCAAGATGATGAAGGGTCTGGAAACCAAGCCTTATGAGGAATATGGGTTGAGGGAGCTGGGTATGTTTAGCCTGGTAAAGAGGAGAGAGAGGAGATATGATAGCCATCTTCAAATATCTCAAGGGCTGTCACATGGAAGAGGGAACAAGCTTGTTTTCTGCTCCAGAGGGTAGGACCTGAACCAATGGATTGAAGTGACAAGAAAGATTCCAACTAAAAATCAGGAATAACATTCTGACAGAGTTGTTCAACAGTGGAATAGACTGCCATGAGAGGCAGTGGTCTCTCCTTTCTTGGAGGTTTTAAAGCAGAGGTTGAATGACCATCTATCATGTTTGATCTAGTTGACATTCCTGCATTGCAAGGGGTTGGACTAGACCAGTGGTGGCCAAACTTGGCCCTCCAGTTGTTTTTGGACTACAACTCCCATCATCCCTAGCTAACAAGTTTAGGAACTCCCAGGCCATAGCTGGACTAGACCCTCAGGATCCCTTTCATTCTATGATTCTAAGTTTTTATAATTATCTCCTGTATAATTATCCCTCTAGCAGGCAAAATTTCCATTGGAAAAATGACCTCTTTATAAAACAGCTAAAAAGTGAGCAGTTGAAAACTAGTGTACAGCATGATCTAGCAATCTAAAAGACTTCCTAAAGATTACTCTGCCCCATCATAGTAAGAGTTGTGATGCCAAACCAGACACTTAAAGTTCAAGATACAAGATAACTAAATAAGTACTTTGAAGAGTAAGTAAAAGCTTTTGTTTAGCTGTATTGTAAAAATAATAATAATCTTTCCCAAATGTATGCTCTTACCAGCAATGACATTCTGCTCCCAATAATGGCAGGTGAAAGGACCAGGATGTACAGAATGCTGCAATAGTTTGTGGGATTGGGCTGTAAAAACATAGCCTCACACACGTTCCCTAAAAGTGCTTTGACATAGGCCACAACCCTTCATAGTACCTTTTCCTTCCATTTTGAAATGCAGTTCCTGGGTTCGACTGGTTTGGGCATCTGCTCAATTTCTGCAAGCACAGTCGCCAGCTTGAAGTGGTTTGCATGCAGAAGGATAACTTTCAGAGATGTCTAGTAATACAGATAGTTTTTTAAAAAATAAAAATACTATTAGTAAAATGGTATTTTGCTTCATGTTGATTTCGGGTGGGGGCAGGGGTTGACCCTGGGGATGGGTGGATCTCAATTTCAATTTCCCTTCATTTCCCCTTTTTTCCAATCTATGTTCAGTTCAGTTCTACACATTTTCACACGTTTGCAGATTTTTCTTAATACGCTCACGTTTGTATGCAAATTTGCCTGTTAAAAGATATTTTTTGCAAAGCAATTCCCTCAATATAATTACACAATCAGACTTCCGGTTTAAAATGTACTACTTCTCTTATTATCTCTTGTCCTAAAATAAATCACACCCAATTTGGCAGGTTATTCTATTCCAAACCTGCCCAGTTGATTTTCTAGTGATTGTTTGAGGCATGGGCATTAGCTATTAGTAAAAGCTGGATGTGAACTGAACACAAATTAAGCCCAGGCAGGCATTAAAAAGATGGTATAAAACTAATTTACAGATTACAGTCAAAAAATGTTACCTCATCAAGCTGCTCAGTGATATCATTCTGATTCTTTGCATCTGAGAACTGTGGAGATTCCGTATAAGCGTTAAGCATTCGTTCCAGGCCTTTAAAAAGAATATTGAAGGAATAACCATTTATAAAAGATTAAACAATCTGTACTATAGTGTTTCTTCCCACACACAGAACCTTTACTAATCTTTCATGCATATGTCTCTGGAAAACAAATGCTTCATAAAATGTTTCTGGAAATCAACTGTAAAGCATTATAGTGCCATTAGAAAACTCCCAGGACATATTTATTTATTTATATTAAAAAATTAAGAGCTGCTTTTTGGCTCAATAGGCCACAGAGTGGTGTACAATCATATTGTGATAAAGCAGACAAGGTAATAAAAGACGCAGCAATAGCAGTCATCTGGAGGACCCAAGATGATCAACTGTTCAAGGGGAACAAATTAACCTAAATTAAATACTGCCTTTATTAACTTTCAAAATGGCAAGAAGGAAGAGGCTAGCCAGCCTGGACTATTAAGTGGGCAATTCTTCTGTTAGCTAAGGGTGACTCGTGCATTTATTGTTTGCTTTCATTCGCTCGCTATCCACCACGGAAGATGCAACAGGTTGCCAGTTGTTTCCACACCAATTCAAGTGTTTAAAACCCTAAATGGCTTAGGCCCCAAATATACGAAATACTATCTCCATCCCTACTGGCCCTTCTTGCTAAAGCACATCAGAAGTATGAGGAATGGCAGCCTGAGAGGGCTTTTTCTGTGGCAGCTCCAAAAATATATACAGTCGTACCTTGGAAGCCAAACGGAGTCCGTTTGACTTCCAAAACGTTAGACACCCAAGGCACGGCCTCTGATTGGCTGCAGGAGCTTCCTGCAGCCAATTGGAAGCCGCAGAAGCCCTGCCGGACGTTCAGCTTCCAAAAGTGTGGGATGTAAGAATCAGGGCGTGGCCTCTCTTGAAGTAGAAAAGAATCACAGGCTGGTGATCATCTTGTCTCTATCGATGCCATCTTAACAACAGCACTACTAAGATGCACCCTTGGCTCCGGGCCAAGAGAAGAAAAGGGGGGCTTTCTCTCATAAGAAGATAGTCACCACATTTAAACTATGTTATAACCTTTTAAGTCTGCCTTCTGGGAACCTTTGTGTGAACAGATGATTACTTGCGAGTAAGTGTTTTATACTTTACAGAAGACGGTGTAGCGTCTAATTTTAGGAGAGATTAAATGGGGAAAATACCCGGAAATATTTACAGAGACTCTAACGAGTCTGAGCAAGCTATCTGCTGTGCATGTGTTTAAAAAAGGGGAATGTTAACTCTGCTGATTTTGTTGAACTTGTAAAGACGAGTTGGGATAGGATATCTTAGACAATATATCCTCCCCCGCATCCCTAAACATTCCCACATTCAGGAGCTAAAGCGTTTGTCAACCAAGGTACGACTGTACCTCCCCACAGAGGTGCATCTAGCATCTTCATTGTACAGCTCTCACATTGGGCTAAAGAGATCTCTTTCCCCTGCCCTTTGAAAATTAAGCTGTTTTGTGGAACCATCCCATACCGTTTTGTACACTGCACTGTTCCATTTGGAACGCTTTTGTGTGCATTATAATTGTAATGGTTTTATCTGTTTTTATAACTGTATATTCTGTTATTGTAACTCCACCCATCTTATGCTGAAGGGCAGGTAAGAAGTTTTATAAATAAGTATAGGTAAATAAGCTGTGTGCTGAAGGGCTAATAATGCACATAGCTTCCTTACACATTTGTCTTCAATTCCAGGGGAATTGGTTTTAGTCTATCGATCTATGGACTCTTGTCTAGGCCAGTTTTCTCTAGAAGCAATGTCAAGGATTGAATGGTAACACCCAATATATCAAGGCATACAGGCGGCATTTCAAGGCACCTGCTTTGTCTTGTAACGCCTTCTCCAAGTCCTTTTGAACACGTAGTACTTTGGCTTTGATGGAAGCCTGTCTCCTCTCTTTTTCGATGAGGCTCGTAGCGTCTTCCTCCTTTTTGCAGGAAAACAAACCCACGTTTTAGACATGCAGTTCAGATGGAAAAGAAAAAATGCATCCAAGCAGGAAGGTGTTTAGTAGAAGTGCAGAAGTACAATGAAGCCTGCATTTGGTACTACTCTAAACTCAAGCACGCATTGAGTGTTGACACTGGCACGGTCTGCACAAATCAAGTCCAAGTGACAACACGCTTGACTTCACCGTGGCTTCATGCACTACAAAATGTTTCAGTATTTAGTCTCAGAAGAAGAAGAAGAAGAAGAGTTTGGATTTGATATCCCGCCTTTCACTCCCCTTCAGGAGTCTCAAAGCGGCTAACAATCTCCTTTCCCTTCCTCCCCCACAACAAACACTCTGTGAGGTGAGTGAGGCTGAGAGACTTCAAAGAAATGTGACTGGCCCAAGGTCACCCAGCAGCTGCATGTGGAGGAGCGGAGACGCGAACCCGGTTACCCAGATTACATGACTACCGCTCTTAACCACTACACCACACTGGCTCTCAGATTTAAAAAAGCAGTACTGATGGCAATAGCTCAGTTGGTAGAGCATACAACTCTTAATTTCAGGGTTGTGGGCTTGAGCCACAAGTTGGGCAAAAGATTCCTTCCAACTCTACAATTCTCTGATTCTAAGGCAAGGCAGTGATCCATCAAAGCACTTAGACCCCGAGAGCATTTTCTTAGAAAAGGAAGATGACTGTCCTATCAGCCAGAAATTATGGGTCTCATGGTATTCTGGCAATCACAGGTGAAGGCAGTAGAGATTAGCAAGCACTAAACTAAATTGCATATTCTGTCCAAGACTCTAGTTTTCTGAGAGGGCCACTTAGCAGAGGTGGTAAAAGGTAGCAGACCAGGCCCAACATCTTTCTAAAGTTGACTTATTGGGATGTTCTGTTGCCCACAGGCATCAACTGTCCTGCACTCAATCTTTTTGCCCTCCATATTGGCAACTGGGGCAAGCTGGTCCCACTTAGAATATTACAGATTTGCCCTGGGGCTTTCAATTCCTGATCCCTAGTCAAGTCTCCAGGCCCCAAGCAATGCAGTTAGAATAAATCAAATAGTGTTATTTACTCAATATTGGATTGTGCTAAATTATTCTCAATATGAAATAATTTGATTGCACGCATGCAGCAATATTATGAGTCGCTCGGCAAATCGCCATTTCTAGTAACAGAACTAGCATACAAATGTGACGTAGCATACAAATGTTACTTTTGCAGAACTTCCTTTCTCTTTGTCTTGAAATGTTAGTTTTATGGTGCAACAAAGCAAGGGTGGTACATCAGAAGAAGCAGACACTCTGAAATTATGCACAAGCATGGATGTTATCAGAAAGATGATTTGAAAGAAGGTTCGTTAAAAATCAGTGAAACGTTTAACACATCTCTGATTCTGTCTGGTCCCCAAAACTAATGAACAGGGTAATTCCCTTGGAATTCTGATGCTTGCCCATTGTGTGTGTGTGTGTGTGTGTGTGTGTGTACGTGTACATGTGAACACAGCCCTATAGTTTCCCCTGCAAAGTCTTAACACATAAAAAATTGAAAAATGTTCCCAGCTCAGTTGAATAATAATAGTTACAGGCAATAAGCTTATCCAGATCCATTATTTGGATACTCCAGTTCTGCTTATCATATTGTGCTTTTGCAATGCATAAGCATAATTGCTGTGCCAATAAAACCTTGTGATTAAGTGGCATGCAAAGCGACAGTGCTGAAAAAGCAGCTCTCTGTTGCTATTGTATTATAGCTTAGTAATTGCATGATGTTGAATTCCCCCATACAGACAGTCACAGGAGAAAGTATAATAGTCAAGAAGGCACCCGCTGTGGCTTTTGGCCCTGTGGACCCTAGTTTCTGATTTATGTCAACTGCTTCCTCTGTGTGGATAAAGCACTGGCAGCACCCGTTGATTTGTCATCAGTCCTTTGTGAAGCAAAAACAGCAGTGGCGCCAAAATATTACAAGCCCTTTTAAGGATCTAGAATGTGGCTTGGCTGCTTCAGATGCTCTACATTTGGGGTGTTAATTTAGAACTTGCATTATGAGCTGAACATGGTTGCAATGGCATTTATTGCAAGAGAGAACAAAACAGTGTTCAGGTAATCACCAACCTATTTGCAACCTGCAAATCAATATTTTCATAGTATCTGTTTGTTAATACACAAGCTGCTTCTCAATGTTTTGTCCCACTCTTGCAACACACTCCTGATTTTTATGTGGGCCATGGGTAAAGCCTGAATATTCCGTGTGTGCTCAGTCATGGTAAAATGCACGTACCATGGTTTATTCATATGTAATGTTAGCATGCAAGCATAGGACCTTGAGAAGCTGCCCTGTACTAGGTCAGAGCATAGGATGATCTAGCTCAGTTTTCCCACAAATGATTGGCTGAGGGTGTCCAGGTTTGCAGACAGGAGACATTCTCATCCCTAGCTGGAGATGCCAGAAATTGAACCTGTGCAATACAGATGCTCTACCACTGGACTACAGGGCCAGCATGCCCATCTGGGCCACCAAAGTACTGATGTGCTAATCATACACTTGAACGGGCCAACACACATGGTAAGAGCAGTCCTAAGGAACAGAAGAGGCTGGAGGTATACAGATGGGAGCAATCTTGAGAAATGGGATCACGGATGGCAAGAAATCTATTCAATTCCCATATTAATTGTTTCCCTCTTTTACTTTCTGCCAAATTGGTACCTGTCATTCACCCTGACAGGGAAAGTAAAGTGCCGCAGTTAGACACTGGTGAAATCAGAGCAAAACCTGCCTACTACTGGGTAGCTGGCTCTCAGTTTTATAGTTTACACAGAATGCACCAAGAGGCATGCCATTACACTTCCTCCAGAGATTCCTACAGCTGTCAGTAGTACTGGGCGATATCTTGTTTTCAACATCGTGATATGGCATTGGCTAAACATTGCAATATACTGATATGTCATGATGTCTGAAATAAGGATGGAGCTATGTAGAGGCACTGGCTGGCTTCAGTTTTTACTGCATTGTGGTTTTCGCCGGCCACTGCTCTTGTGATTCGCTGCTCCCTGAAGGAGGCGGGGGAGAGCTGAGCCAGCAGAGCTAACAGGCTGCAGGAATCAAGAGAAGCATTGGTTGGCTCCATGCTTTTTCCTACATTGTGATTTTTGCATAGCACACACACAAACATCCTTATTCACGATATATTGCCAGGTCAAAAACTATGAAACTGATATCACGATATGGACTTCAAACTGGGTTTGAACGATATATCGATAAATCGCCCAGCCCTAGCAGGCAGTTCCTATTGCCATACAAACATTGCCCGTCATGATGACAAGCATCTCAGTAGTGCACTCACATAATAGTCTGTTAATAACAGCTCCAGCTTGGTCTCTGTAGCAGGCATGGACATTTCTTCTCCTAACATCTGTGTGTCCTTGTGTGCATCAACTTCACTGACCGCATTATGAAGCCTTGTGTGGCACTAGAATAAGGACAAACAAGATTCATTATGACAAGAAGTTCTAATAGTATTTAAATGGAAGTGAACAGCGCTTGGAATGAACTAGTCCCATTGAACAAAGTTCACTAACTAGTTCAAAAACTACACCTGAAAGTAGTACTTGTAAATGTCAGGTGTTCTAAAGGTGAATAAAGTTCAGTTTGGGGGTAGAACTTTGAATGATTTATAGTTCATCTTCATGTTCATTACTTTTGCCCTCGCCATCCCCCAACAGGAGGCCTGGACTCTTAACTTTCATTTTAAAAAAAAAAAAAATATCAACCAAACATTTCTAAAGAAAGTTGCAAAGCTAAATGTGGCAGGAACGGTCTAAGGCTTATTAGGCTGTTGCTAAAGACACTAAGTCAGTCACTGTTGCTAAGGAATCAGAAGGAATGTGAGGCATTTCCCGCACCTCTTCCTGGACCTGTACTTCTTGCTGCAAGCTATTCAGGTTAGAAGAGAGAAATGCCTCACATTCCTTCTTTCTGATTCCTTAGCAACAGTGATGCTTTGTGCCTCTAACAGCTGTGTAGGTGGCAGAAATAAAACAGAGTAAGTCTTCTAGTATGGAAATACAATTATGGGGAAAGTTTAACCTGCTTACGTTCTGTCTGTCAGACATCTTATTACTTGTGTGTGGCCTCCGATTTGCTTTTGGACTTTGGTTCAGCATACTGGCGGGTAACATTCTGAATGCTGAAAAAATGTATGCCAAGGATGAACTTTTTATGAACTAAAAGGTTCATTTGGATGAACTGGAACTGAACCAGTTCATTTTGCAAAACAACGTTCTTGAACTGGAAACAGTTCCTTTTTAAAAACAAACTATCTAACCACTGGAGGTAAAAAATCGTAATATTACATACCGCAATTAGGTTCTGTGCCAAACTGGAAAGATGCTGGCTGTAACAATTTAATGTATTGCACAGAAGATGCAGTCGCTCCTTTTCGAGTTCTAGGATGCTCTGTTTAAAGGAAGGGAGGAAGCCATTACCACACAAAATGGGCAATCTGCAAGGATTAGATTGGTCTGCTGCATACAGAGCCACCAGAGGAACCCCGTCCCCAATCCAGACTATGCAAAAATAGCTTCTGCAAATGAGAACCTGCCACATCCCAAGACAATCTGCTCCACTGCTGAACAGCATTACCAATAGGAAGTGTTCCTAATATGTCCCCCAAAACCTGCCCTGCAATTTCCATCCATGGTTTCTAGTCATGCTAGAATTATTATTTGGAGCACAATTTCTGTTCTCATCCTGAAGCAAAGTTCTTAACCCGAGGTACTATTTCTGGAGTCTGTAACCTGAAGTGTATGTAACCCAAGGTACCACTGTACTATCAACCTAGGTAAAGGTAAAGGACCCTTGGATGGTTAAGTCCAGTCAAAGGCGAATATGGGGTTGCGGCACTCATCTCGCTTTCAGGTCGAGGGAGCCGGAGTTTGTCCACAGACAGCTTTCAGGTCACATGGCCAGCATGACTAAACTGCTTCTGGCGCAACGGAACACTGTGACGGAAGCCAGAGTGCACGGAAACACCATTTACCTTCTCTCTGCAGTGATACCTATTTATCTACTTGCACTGGCATACTTTCGAACTGCTAGGTTGGCAGGAGCTGGGAAAGAGCAATGGGAGCTCACCCCATTGTGGGGATTCAAACTGCCAACCTTCTGATCGGCAAGCCCAAGAAGCTCAGTGCTTTAGACCACAGCGCCACCCGCGTCCCTACTATCAACCTACTCATTACATCACACAGGTACTTAGGACCCCCGTGAGTGGAAAGGGTGCACCCAAACAGCCATAGGCACACATGTAAAGCACATGATTCTCCCTCCACTGAAATCAACCGGGTTTAAAAGTGTTTTGCTTTGGCTGCATTGCACACTTCGTCTCTTTTATGTAGGTGTTCCTTTAGCTGAAGAATGCTAAAAGGCTTGGAGCAGAACTCAGCGTGTGATTAAAAATACAGTAACTCTGTGGAGGTGGTCATGCTTAACAGCATTTAATTAAATTTCTGCTTCTAGAAAAAAAAATGATTGAGTATGAAATTTACGGCCAATCTGTTGATGCTGGTGCTTTTTAGGGGGGTGGGGGGTGTTTCTTTAAAAAGCCACTTTGATGAATTATATTTCATTACGTTTCAAGTCAGATTATAACGTTGTCTATGACAAACCAGATGTTGCGGCTTTGTTGGATCTACAAATTTTGCCATGGGGGGTAGACGTCCACACTGACCCCATGGGTCACATTCAATGATGCTTCTGAGCCTCTCTCCTCCCAAGCCGTGTCATAGTCATGGCAGTGAGTGCTGTTTTCCACCCCCAGGCAACACACTAGGCCAAAGTACAGCTGAGCTCAACGCAGCAGCAAAATGGCCAGGGATCACCAGCAAAGAGGCTGGGATTTCCTCTCCAGGAGCCCAAATGTTTGCTTCTTCATAAGCTTGGCTTACGGTTAGGTGCAAACTGGGGCTCTGTGTGAGCCTCCACCCTTTTGAGATGGGTGAGAATCAAGCAATTTCAAGGCTAGATTAAATGGCCTGGTGTACTGGTGCCAAAGGGATATCTTCTCCTAAGAAACTAAGAAATAGAAGCAGCCTCAGAGAAGCAGGGGAAACCCAGCCAGATAGTGGGTTGGTTGGTTGGTTGGTTGGTTGGTTGGTTGGTTGGGAAAGGCAGTTGGAAAAGCAGTTGGCAGGCAGTTGGAAATAGAGAGACAGTTAGTGCAGTGGTTTCTTGTGTGAGGGGAGGTAGAAGAGATAGAGAGGATAAAACAAGACTAAGAAGGTAAAGAGTAACAAGGTTTGGAATGCGGTTAAAGTTTGTTTGTGTCTGAAATAAACTACACTCTTCTTTGTTAATTTGAGAACCTGACTGAGACTAAGTGATTTGCCAGGGAGGACCTGGTTGGTGGCAGCGGATTAGTAGTGTACAGGTCAATAGTCTGCGAGACGACCGGGGGTTCCATACGAACACCACAATCATCATCATCATCATCAAGCAATTCCAGTGGATGTTGCAGGACTGACTTTCTTATTCCCTGGGACAATTTGCTATGCTAGCATGGGGTGACAAATGCATGCACAAACATATGAAGCTGTGTCATTCTGAGGATATGCCAAGTCAGCAGTGCTCCGGGGTTTTATACAGCCTTCTCTGGAGAGATGCCAGAGATGGAGCCTTGGACATACCTCTGAGTTCTGTTCTGATTCACCTGGGGTTGTCTACTCTAACTGGCTCCAGCCTGAGGCCTTTCTAGTTGTAGAGTTGGGGAACTCAACCAGGAACCGTCCGGCTTGCAGAACATGTTCTCTAATCTTGAGCTGCATTTTGATCTGCAGCTCCTCCCTTTAATGTTTATAACTTCCAAGAGTAGTCCTCTGCTCCCAGGACCTTGATTCCCACCCGCCCCCTTTCCCTTCTCGAACACACAGCTGTAAATCAGGAGGTACCTCACTGTTCTCACTGAATTGCAAATCAAAATAAAAAATGGATGGCAGTGCAGAAATGAGGCTTGTTTATATTCAAGGGGAAGTGTCAGAATGAAAATGTACAACAGCACAAGAAAAGAACCTCAAACGACTTGCCTGGTGGCAATTTTCTAAAGTGCTTTCCCATTTCAACCTAGTTTTACAGGCGGCTAGATTCTTGTCATAGTAATCTTCATCGTCCTTTCCCAGTTTCGTCGCAGATTTTTCCAGGTTTCTGAGCAACTGAAATGAAAATATAAATGCAAGTTGTTTAAAAAAAGAGAAAGATGATTGACTTCTCTCAACAGAGGCATTGTTCTCATAGCCATGTTGGCAGGGGCAAATTATCCTCTATTTATGCACCTGTGAGGTCAGGAGAGGTAAGGCCAACAGCTTAACAGTGTGCTATGTGCATGACAACATGCAGAAAACTGTGTTTTGTGTGTAGTAAATCATGAGTCTTTGCTTCACAATGCTGAAAGTCACCCTCTCCCCTCAAAGATACCTAACAGATTGACTCCTGTCATTCTCTTTAGCAGCCTGGCAGGACCACTGCTTCAGAAAAGTAGGCTGTTATTATCGTTACTACTTTTATAGCCCAACGTTCAATTCAATAACCTCACATATGCCTCTTGTCCACCATTTTATCCTCATAAAAACCCTATGAGATAAGCTGGGGAGAGAGATAGTAACTGGCCCAAGGTCATGTACAGCGCTTCATCATCAAGTGTGGATTTGATTGGGAAAGAAGAAAGGAGGGAGGATAGTGAGGAGAAGTGGTAAACTTATATTCTTATAATTAATGTTTCAATATGTTTTTATATACGTATGTTGGAAGCCATCCAGAGTGGTTGTGCTACCCTGTCAGATGGGTGGGGTCTTATATTATTATGATTATTATTTTAAAAATTGGACGTCCCAATTTTCATCAGAGAAATGTTGGGAGTGTATGGAATCTGGGTCTCTCTGGACCTAGTCCAGCCCTCTAACCATGCCACCACACTGTCTTCATGATTTGCCATCTACCTTAGCTTCTACTGTGGAGGAGATTGCACTGCATCATGTGACCTAATACTCTTGGCCCAGGGGACACTGGGAATTTTCCTGGGGACACCCATTCCCTTACGCACAACCCACATGGTTGCAGGCAGGTAATCTGGCTGTGTGGAAACCAAGAGGCAAGCGCTTTGTCTGAAGATTTACCTTCCTTTTGGTCTTTGGCGAAGCCAACGCTTGGGAGCTCTCTGTTTCGCGGAAGAGCGCTTCGTGGTTCTTGGTTAGCTCCTTTAATTTCTTCTTGGCCTGCCACCAAACACACATAAATCAATTGAGATGTGAGGGGAACTGCATATTTTTCAAGCTGAGCTGGGGATCGAACTGAGTAGGGATCTCTCATAGACAATTTATTATTTGATGTCGTGATTATTGTTCTCTGCCCAGACTCGTCTTTCACTGACGGAAGGGGTTAGGGCGCGACTCTGACAGTGGGTAAGATGTCATTGTCTTGGAATGGAAAGTGCGGCGTATGGTGCAAAGGAGATCTCATCAGGCAGAGGACAAGTGAGGGCTTCTCATTATGCTGCATTCAGTTACTAGCTGCTCTTGAGCACATAAATTAATCCTTGTGTTCGTAAGCTCCACAAATGGTGTTGATCTAAAGACCTCCACTGAGATCCAGTTGCAGCAAACTGATCTGCACAGGCTCACCAACAGCAACCTGGGCTGGAATTCCTGTGAAGTCTGTATCTTCTTCACCTGTGTCACAGAGGTCACATCCACACCGTGCATTTAAAGCGCATGGCTTCCTCCCAAAGAATCCTGGGAATTGTAGTTCCCTCCTCACAGAACTACAATTCCAGGCACCCCCTCAAATTGAAGCTCTCAGTATTCTTTGAGGGAAGCCATGTGCATTCATAGAGTGGATGCGACCAGAAACCACTTGCAAATATGTACACACACACAATCATTTTTCACTTTGTTGATCTGGTCTGGAACAACAAAGATGGGCACCACAGATCTATACAGTTTCAAATGCCTGCAAGTGAAATTTTGGGTGCTGGATACCTTTGTAGTTGATAGAAACACAGGAAGAAGAAGAGAAGAAGAAGAGTTTGGATTTGAAATCCCGCTTTATCACTACCCTAAGGAGTCTCAAAGCGGCTAACAATCTCCTTTTCCCTTCCTCCCCCACAACAAACACTCTGTGAGGTGAGTAGGGCTGAGAGACTTCAGAGATGTGTGACTAGCCCAAGGTCACCCAGTAGCTGCATGTGGAGGAGCAGGGAAGCGAATCCGGTTCCCCAGATTACGAGTCCACTGCTCTTAACCACTACACCACCTTGCACCAGAAAAATGGCACACAGCTTTGTTGTTCCTCCATTGGGAGTGAGGGGAAGGAAAGTTGTATAGCCAAGTGGAAGAACACATTTTTATTTATTTTTTGCATTTAAAAGGACCCATCTTCAATCATGGTAGGACAACTAAAGATTCATTTGTGAAGCTTTGGAGAGCCACTGCCAGTCAGTGTAGGCAATATAGAGTTAGATGGACCAGTGGCTAGTGTAATGAAGCTTCCTATGCTCCATTTAGCCTATAGATCATATCCTTTGCTGTTTAAGGCTCATACAGATGATACCACATGGGCCTGCCTTTCCTCTCCATAGATGGGTTTTCAAACTCCCTCTATATTTGCATTCTAGCATAGCTAACCAATGCCTTTTATTTCAAACCATGGGACATAATCTAATCAAGCACTTCTTAGCCCCCTTTGCGTAGCTGAATTCAACGGGACGTGGAAGAGTTTCCTGTGGGTTGATCTTGACTTGGTTACCTTTGCAACGATGAAAAATGGAGACTTGCCTTTATTTGTTGGCGCCAGTTGCCGGTCACCAGGTCCGCTGCCTTCGCAACTGTATTATCTAGCTTATGGAAGAGAAACACAATGACATTTGAGAAGCATATCATTGCTTGCTTGCTTGCTTATTTATTTATTTGATTTCTCCTCTGTCCTTAACCATAACATCCCCGGGAAGGCTACAACCATAAAATGTACAATTATTTAAAAAAACACACAAAAAACCAACCATGAGACATCGAAGTGCAAAAAACAATTAAAAGCAGTTACCTATATAAAAATAAATGCAAACACTTGAAAGACAATTCCATATATAAAAATGGTTCTAGTACAGATACATGTACAGTACAGATCTTAACTTGTTGAAAGAGGAAGGTCTTTCAACAGAGATAGTCCCTGCCTAATATGTAACAGGAGGGAAATCCAAAGGTCTGGAATGGATCTTCTATTAAGGTGGTATCCTGCAGAGCACAGTGATGGATTGGGTATATGAGGGGCGAGACAATATGGCTTTGTTCCATTATCAATGTACAGCCTAAGAATATCTGGGCCTTTTAAGGAAAGTCGGAATCTAAAGATTTTAAAGGAAATATATATATATATTTAGGGCAAGTGGACAATAATATTAGCATCACACCAGATTTGTAAGAGGCCCTTTGCAAAACCAAATCCTCATAGACTTAGGTTGTGATCCTGCTCCTGCTGAAGCCACCAGCAATCAGAAGCCATTGACTTTAACAATGCAGAACTGCAGCCTTACTTAGAAACAGAACTTTGTGCATTATGCATCATCACTTGCACAGACATTGCACCAGATCATCAGAAAAGCAAGGTTATTTGAACTCACTGCTTTTTTCCTCTTCTCATGCTCCTCCAGGACGTGATTTGTTGGACTTATAGCTTCCACCTGAATGGCTTTGCCAAGTTTCCTGGGCACAGAACATAAAACATATACACCTGCTGCATTAACATTTGCCTTCCGAAAAATTATTTGCTAGACAACCGCTGAGGGAAATGCAGTAAATATTCTCCATGCAATCCCAGAGTAGGCAATAAAAACTGCCATGTTGATTGTACAGGTTTTAAAACCCTCCCAGCTCTCAGTGGACTTTGAATAATGGACCAGACTGTACTTACTTGTGCAAATCGGAGGCAGACTTCATCCCTTCAGAAACACATTGCCAGGCACTGCAAATATAACTGAATGGAGACCAAAAAAAAAAAAAAGGTGGGAAGGAAAAAGGAAATGTAGTATACACATTTATTCTTACTTCAACACGTCTGCTAAAAATCTGGTCTCAGACACAATACATTTTAACAGTTCTGCATGGAGATTTACATAGGATGCCATTTTGTGCAACTAACTGGGGATCAAACTCAATCCACAACGGTTGTTTTGCAAGAGGAATTGCAGCTGTTCGGCAAGCCACTGTCACCTTAAAAACACAGAAGATGACTTTAAACTTGTGCCAGCCATTTTAGAGAAAAGACAAACCTGGGAACAGCTGCCCCATTCTATTAGATGTTGGGGATTCCACTGACCTCCCCCCGCAACACCCCATTCTATTGTTGAGAATGTGGCAGCAGCATCTGTGTGGCAGCATCCCCTCAATACATATGCCTAGCTCAGAAGGCAGCATACTGTAAGTATGGCTGCCAGGAAGGCAGACCTTTTGCTGAGCAAGGGGTTTCCATTGTTGGGCACAGAAGGGCAAAGGTGCACTTCTGGAGCTCCATTTGCCATAGGAAGCAATGGGAGCCCCATGTACGCCCAGGGCTCTAGACTACGACTTTCCATGACAAAGGAAAAAGAAAACCCCATCGGAGCAACTGGGGGCTGGGTAGGAAATGATGTCACTTACCTGACCTTCATTTTGCCCAACGCTTTGGTGAGCTTGTGGGCCAGTTTATCCAGCCCTTTGCCATATGTGATCTCCAAATCAGCCCTGCCAACAAGGAAACAAGAGGTCATGATGCAAGCAGCTCCTTGTATCTCGACAGCAATGATCTGTTATTTTGGAAGTATGTTCTTACTCTTCCATGCTGACCCACAATTCACGTCACTCAGCAGTGCCATAACCACTCCTAAGTGCTCTGCTAATGCACCATCATGAATCAGTTATGTCCTGTTTGCCTTCAACATTCATGTAATTTACCCAAGAAAATTGTTTAGCAATACTCAGCCACTCTTGCTGGCTTTTATTAGAATTTGAATTATCAATCAATGCTCTTCAAATGAGGGGTGTGGCAGGGCATGGATAGCAGAGAATCCGGAGGACAAGGCCTGACACGTAATTAAAAACAATGAGCTCAAATGACAAGCTTTCCAATTCTCTGGTGCAGAAATGGCACATTAAGGTGAAATGTGCGCACAAATGGTTCTGTTTTCTGCACTGGTTCATACATGTGGGTTGGACTCGATGGCCCTTGTGGTCTCTTCCAACTCTATGATTCTATGTACTGTACCTAAATCGACTTCTTGCACATCATTTAATAGCATGCAATTAAATGTTCAAACTGACTTCACTGAATTGCATTGTCTTTTGAGGTGAAATGAACATTGTATTTGTGCACTGCCTAATCTGCAATGGCTCATTCACACATACACCATGCAGGCAATAACACTGGTCACCAACACAGTGCCTGTGGGCACCAGTGAGCCCACCAGTACCTTGTACGATGCCCTCAAAAAGGTCTCAGTAAATCTCCCTTCAAAAATCCACAATACACATGAGACTGTTTGCTCTTCCTGCTCCGCTCATGCTTGCCCCAAGTCTCCTTAAACATGCCCACATTTGACTGAAGGTAATAATTTGATTACTTCCATCCCTTCTGTTCTGAAGGAAGTGGTGCAAATAGCTTTTCTCTGAGAGTGTGGCGATGACTGATGTAAGTGCTTCAGAAGAAGAAGAAGAAGAAGAAGAAGAAGAAGAAGAAGAAGAAGAAGAGGAGGAGGAGGAGGAGGAGGAGGAGGAGGAGTTTGGATTTGATATCCCGCCTTTCACTCCCTTTAAGGAGTCTCAAAGCGGCTAACATTCTCCTTTCCCTTCCTCCCCCACAACAAACACTCTGTGAGGTGAGTGGGGCTGAGAGACTTCAAAGAAGTGTGACTGGCCCAAGGTCACCCAGCAGCTGCGTGTGGAGGAGCGGAGACGCGAACCCGGTTCCCCAGATTACGAGACTACCGCTCTTAACCACTACACCACACTGGCTCCACACTTAGCTCCCATTGACCGAGGGATGGCATGCTCACACCATTTTGTGGTCCTATTTTCCAGCTCTTTAGATGCGGCAGCCATTTTGTGTTTAAGCCACATCCCCACTGCAGCCATTTTGTAGCTGGCACCCAAGGCACTCAAAATTCCAAAAAGGTTGGAGACCCCAGCATTAATCAAAGGGGCACCAAATAAATATTCAGGGGAGGCAACCATCACTTGATAGTAGAGCGCACACTTCATAGGCAGAAGTTTCCATTCTTTTCATTGCCATGCAAAAGAATCAGAACAGCTGATGATGAGGCTTATATGTTTACAAGGTAAATTTATTACCCACCGACGTGATTTAATGTAGTTCATCTCATGACAAACGTCATATTTTATTATCCAAGTAGCATGAAAGTAATGATGATATCCCAAGCTTGTAAAAAAGGAAGAGAATTGAGGGGGTTTTGTGTCTGCCTGAATTTCACTTGTCCTACTGCATAAGTGGTAAAGCATTTCATCATATTTAGAAAAGAATTACTTTCAAAAAGGTGTCTCCTAGAATGGGGAGCCTTGAGGTTTAAGATGCAAGGCAAATCTTCTATGGAATGGCAATTTCTCTTTGGAATGCACAGCTAATGAAATCCTTGCTCTCTACTCAGAATATCTGACAGTAAAATGAATTAGGTTTTCAGGATGAAATAACAAGTTAGAGCTAAAAGCCTTCCTCCCAGCCTTCCCCTTGGGTGAAATGTGTCTTAGTAAATCTTCCGAAACTCTTGTTTGTGACTTTACAAAATCAATAGCAATTGCAGGAACAATATGACTGCTAAATCGGGGCACGATCCAGCAATAAAAGGCAACCTGGTGAATCAGGCTGGTCACCTTAGTAGAGGCAAGGTCACCAGTCATACGCATAAGATGTGGCTTTTGGCAATCCAGTCAATGAAATCCAAAATTAATGCAATATTGTGGCCCTTGGGAGAGGAGCCTGTTGTTCAAATCTAGGCCTAATCGGACCTAGACTAGATGACTACAACCACCTGTCTCCATGAAAGAGAATCCTTTATCTCTGACCTGCATGACCTATCTATATCAGGTACAGGAAATAGGGATGACACCTCCATGATCCAATTGAAGGAATGAAGGACAGGTGACCCCATCTAGGCCCGAAGTCCCCCCCCCCCCAAAGCAGGCTCAAAGCTTCTCAAAGCTTTTCAAAATCATTTTTCTCAGCAGCTAAAATGCATTAGCTAAGCATCAGAAACATTTCGCTCTGCTGTAACAAAGGTCGCTTCTCAGGCTATAGTTGACCTTGCCAAACAGTACATTTGACTTGCAACTTTCTTTCCGGGAACTATGCCAGAACAAGAGATTGAAACATATCTGAACACTCTGAAACTCCCTCACCCCCTTCCTGGGAAGAGCCCAAAAATGGTCCCAAGACAGGGGAGCTTTCTGTTCATGCTCAGAGGAACTCATGGGGCAGGACTCTGGAAGAAGGAGGAGAAAAGGGGAGGGAACTGGAAGGGGTAAATAAGTTTGTGCACATGATTGTGAACCCGTGCATGCTTTTTGTGAACTATCACACTTGCTCCTTCTACTGGTTCATGGATGGTAGAAATAAAAGCCTTTTCTCCGAAACTATTCCTTGAGTGTCTGTTGACTCCCACTTCCCTTTCCCGGCGCAATATTTTTCCCACCCGAGGGCAAAGCCTCATAAGGCTACACAATCAATGCTGGAATTTCCTTTGAGGCTTTTGTTTATGAGAGTGCAAAAACTCCAGGCTTCAAAGCAACAATATTTCTGGCTTCAGGATCTGGTTACTCAGTTCCACTATGAAACCATTTGCTGGATCACTTGTGTGGGTTCTGGCTCCCCAGATCCACCCTGTTGAGCATCACTTCACTGAAAATCACTTTGATGCGCATCACTCTACTGAATTGTTTAGTTAGCCAGAGCTCAGGGGTTTGCTTCCCCTACTTTCCCTACTTTCCCCTTTCTGTCTCCCCTACTTTCCCCTTTCTGTCTCTGGACCCTTGCCTGCTGAAGGTCCCCCCTTTTGCTTACAGGTGGCTCCCAGGTTAGTTTCACACTGGTTGGCCTGTCAGAACCAGTGCAAAAGTCTACTCTGGCTGGATCTAGACACACCAAAAAAGAGCTGCAGTTAAATGCGTTGCAAACTTTGTATGGAACTCCACAGTGCGATCTGGTGTCACAGTGTTAGAATGCATGTAAAGCAAATGCATTTTTTCTTTGCCAATGTAGCTGAGTCCTCTGATTAGGTTTACATAACCAAACGTGTGTCAGAACTGCAGGCAGACGCATAGATCACAAACTGAACATTTCAATGAATGGGAAACTCCAGAAAGGCATCAGAGGAAGCCGCTGTTGTTCAAGCCAAGTAGGGCTATGGAAGTTCAAGCCAAGTGTGATCCTGTTAGAGGAATCTCTAGTGGTTCCCGCCAAATATCCTCTCTGCTGCAGTTGCTGTGCAGGTGAATTTCTCCAGATTAACCAATGTGCATAATGGACTGGGTAAGCGCAAGCCTAATGAATCCCTGGAACTTCTTCCTTATCAAATGCAAACAGATAGCCCTATTTAAGGATGACCTGGTCATAGGGCAGTGACAGTACGGTAACCTCCAGCAAACTCCTTTTCACAGTAACTGGATGAAGCCTACATTTATGTTTGCAATGGCAAACATATAAGTGTGCAATAGCCCAGTACCTGAGTTAATTAACACTTAATGTCCTGTCCACCCAGTCCTGTCCTCAATGAGATTACCCTCTGCGTTAAGAGCTAAAGTCCATATGAGGGACTCTTTCCTATAACTGGGCACCTCTCAGTCTGCACTGCATTTACCGTATTTTTCGCTCCATAGGGCGCACCTAGTTTTTAGGGGGGGGATAAAGGGGGGGAATTATTCCCCCCCCCAGCCCCAAAGAGCAAAGAAGCCAGGACAGCGAATGGGATCCATCCTGCTGGCTGTCTTGGCTTCCTCTTTAGCCGCACGCAACCTCTCCAGCCGGGAGAGGCTGTGCGTGGCTTTGGCAAAAGTCAAGACACCGAGCAGGATGGATCCCGCTCGCTGGCTTGGCTTCATTTTTAGCCGTGGGGCTGGGGCGGGGGAAGCCCGAGCTTCCCCAGCCCCCAGAATGGGTCCAGGAGCGGGGGCGAGGTTGCGCGCAGCCTCGCCTTCACTCCCGGAGCTTGCGGATAGCTGCCTGAAGCCCGGGGAGCGCAGCGGGAGTTGGCGCTGCGCTCCCCGGGCTTCAGGCTGCAGGCTGCTATCCGCAAGCCTTCGGAGCCCGGCGGGAAGTCCCGCCGCACTCAGAAGGCTTGCGGATAGCTGCCTGAAGCCTCGAGAGTGAGAGGGGTCGGTGCGCATTCGCTGAAGCCTGCATTCGCTCCATGGAACGCACACACATTTCCCCTGCATTTTTGGAGGGGAAAAAGTGCGTCCTATAGAGCGAAAAATACAGTAAGTTATTTGGGATCCTCCAGTAGACTCCTCCACACCACTCTTTTTCAAGGGTGCTGCTCCAACACTTCGGATGTCAGCAGGAGCAAAGTATCACCATCCCTACTCACTATTCTTGCCTCTTCCCCCTTCCCAGCCATGCCTGTTGCTTTTATTTTGGGTTAGTCAGAACTCTTGTGGGAGGCAAAAGCCAGTGTTGCTCCAGAAGCACAGGTCTTTTAATATATATATATATATATATATATATATATATATATATATATACACACACACACACACACACACACACACACACACCATATTTGCTGCAGTCAAGGGAATCCAGGGTAGAATTGGACTTTGCACAATCTATGAAGGCTTGCCTGCTTTAGGTCAAAGCAAAAACTTCACACCTAACATTAAACTATGGTTTCGTGTCATGGGGATGAGCTGCAGCGAGCCTTGGGCATGCAAACTCCTCACTCCCCACTTCTCACTGGTGTAGCTTGCAAGAGGATCAGCAGCTTCTACTTCTGTTTTAGATTAACCAGATTTAGGGTTTGGACAGCATGCTGGACTCCTGTTAACAGTGGTTTGTTGAAATGTACTATGGCTTCACATTGGCTTGTTTAAACAAACTATAATTATGGTTACCACAGTTTACCTGGCTCAGATGACATAGCAACCTGTGCTTCACCAAAAAGGGGGAAAGCTTTCAAATTCCTCTGTGTGGCTGTTCTGAAGGAGGAGGCACATAAACTCAAGGTTCCCCTACACTACTTGTCTCAACCATGCAAAAACCATGGTTTAGGGTTACATCCAACTGAGCTCATCATCAGGCCAAAGGAAGAAAATCCATGTACTGTATATGCTACCTTGAAGCTGGTCCTTGCTATTAGACCTTTTCTCCACTCCCCTTCTTCACATTCCAGCAGCCACCCTAGTAATTACTGGATGAGTAAGTTATATTTCAAGTGGCATCAGACCAAGCCTTATAGAAACTGTTCGAACATGCAGGGAGGAAATGATAAGTAGCCTTGTATTATAGAAGTCTGTTCCGGAGAACAATAACTCTCTCCCCACTCCCTCCGCCAGCACACACATACCATTTGGAGAAAATAATTTGCCATCTGAGCAAACAAGGGAGATTGAAGTCTATCAGGTTGATGGGACACATACATACCTCTGCTGAAGAATAGACATGAGTTGCTTGCAGAAATTATCTCCATTTTTGGAAAATCTTTTCAGATCTTGATATGCCCTGTCATACTGAAAACACAAGATACAGACTTGTTTACAGGCTTTAAGGTTTGGGCAACATTTCAGGTCTGCACTCGTTCTGCCTGCCACACAGGAAAAGAAAAGTGTAGGACATAGGTGTGGAGCTTGTGTGGGAAGAGAATGAGTATCCACAGTAGCAAATGTTTTCTTTTCCTTTTTCATCACTGAATGGGGCATGCAAAGTGATTGCATACTTTTAAGCCAGAAAACCAGCTGTTGATAATGTACAAGGTCCTTAGGTACTCCTGTATTATTAATATTACTGTTATCATTACTTAGACAACAGGTAGAAGTTCCTGGTGGGTGGATTGCAACGTATCCCTGAAATCTAGCCAAAATCTCCACCCAACAGAAATGATATCCACACACAGGGAGGAGACCTTTACAAAATCAACAGAGTTTCTGTAGCACCCACACATTGACACACCCTCTCTGGCATTGAGAGATCTCACACGGCTTAAACAGAACGGTTCTCAGGGTTCGTTTTGTTTCCCATTCCCAATTCCATCACCCCATGCAAACATTGTGCCAAATCAAAGCCCATATGGAAGTGTTTCCATTATAACACACTCACAGATCTGAAAAAGAAATAATGGTGATAACCTGTGCTACTCTCCTTTCACATTAAAGGCTCCCCTCCTGCCAATTTGGGGAAAGGCCAGTGTATGGAGGGTGGATGGGGCTGTGGCTCAGTCTTAGCTTTGCATCCAGAAGATTCCAGAGTCAGTCCCTGGCATTTCCAGGTAGGGCTAGAAGAAAGGACTCCTGCTGGAAGCCTTGAAAGCTCCTGCGTTGTCAGTCTTGAGTTAGAAGGACCCATGGCCCAGTAGAAAGAAGCTGCCTATTTGGTGTGCTAGGTTTCCTCACTTGCACAAAGCATTCCTGGGAACGCCAGCTTGCTCATTCAAATCTCTCTGTGAGCCAACGTCCAGTTTGTGATTAGGCAAGTCACTATTTTGAAGAAGCTCCTCTGCAACACGATGCTCCTCCCAGTGTGGTGTAGTGGTTAAGAGTGGTAGTCTCGTAACCTGGGGAACCGGGTTCGCATCTCCACTCCTCCACATGCAGCTGCTGGGTGACCTTGGGCCAGTCACACTTCTCTGAAGTCTCTCAGCCCCACTCACCTCACAGAGTGTTTGTTGTGGGGGAGGAAGGGAAAGGAGAATGTTAGCCGCTTTGAGACTCCTTAAAGAGAGTGAAAGGTGGGATATCAAATCCAAACTCTTCTTCTCTTCTTCTCTTGGCAAGCCAGAAGTGGAAGGTCACTCTCCCAATGCTGCTATGCATTGCCTCCTTTAATATAGTTTCACCGAACATTTTTAAAAAGGAGGCTATCCTCTCTATGCTATGATCTCTGCCTCAAATGCAAGTGTTTTGCAAAGGGTGGAGGAGATCCAGGGAGGAAAGGATCAGGATTTCGCAAGAAAAGGCTTTTTTTTGTTCGAGGGAAGCACCGCACCTCCTGACATAGTCCTTTGTGAAAAGCATGCTCTGTGACAATTCAGCACAGACCCATTCATTATACCAGTAGAGTTCAACATTCGCAACCGTTACTGCATATAGCCTGCTATTTTATTATTATATTAATAGGTCACTGGTTTCATTCAACATAGTGCTAAGGTGAACATTCCGGCAGTGTGAGGATTTTTCCTTGCATGACAGAAGCATTTCCTTCCTGCAGTCCTGGCATTCCCGCTAAATGTGCTCTGGGTTCCCCTCGACAAGCTTCCTCAGCAGATGTGGGGATGGCAAAGGGCATGCGCATAGCAAGAGGAGACGTGGGGAGAATATACCTTCCAACATTTCTCCAATGAAAATAGGGACGTCAATAATAATAATAATAATAATAATAACCCTGCCCATCTTACTGGGTTGCCACAGCCACTCTGGGCAGCTTCCAACATATAAAAAACACAATAAAACAATTAAGAACTTCCTTCTACAGAGCTGCCTTCAGATGTCTTCTAAAGGTTGTATAGTTACTTATCTCCTTGGCTCAGGGTTCGCAAAACTGCATATCTCCTCCCACTCCCCACCCCCAATGAAAATAGGGGCATCCTAAAGAAAAGCAGGACATTCTGGGATCAAATCAGAAACTGAGATGGCTTCTGTAAATCTGAGACTGTCCCTGGAAAATAGGGACACTTAGAGGGTCCCGGAGAATCGCCTTGGGCTCATCTTACATGCAGAAACTCATGAAGACAGTTTTCTGAGAATGGATGACCAATATGCCCATCAACCATACCATGCCATAATGAAATGTTTAAATATTTCTTTGATTGTCCTTGAATCTTCCTGCCACACTTGCCATCCTCTCCTGCCATGCCAGTGTGGTGCACCACACCCTTTGAGGACCAGTGTGCCAGCGCATAGAGTTTGTTGACCACCACCCTATATTAATTTTAGTATAGCTATGAGAAATACTGCATCATGCCTTTCCTCCCAAAGTGACCAAAGACAGAGCTAACGCCTGCTATAAAATATTATTATTGCTTTCATTAGTTACAATTGTCATGCTGGTAATAGCCTACAACGAGGGATGTTTACCCTGCAATTGATTACTAGGCATTATGGCAACATTTCTCTTTTCTAGAGATTTTTTAAAAATAAAAATATGTCAAATCCAAAGAAGCAGATTTTGCAGCAGAAACTTCTGCTGGCTGGCTCCCAGTTCTCCTGCTAAGCAAGATGCAGCTTGCTAGAAGCAGCAGCCATATTAATATTTTATATCGGATGTTAAATCTTTGCAAGGCATCGGCACTCACTGACGAAGCTGAGCTGTACAAAACAACAACACTTGGAGCAACCCCCCCCCCCTCGTACACACATAATGGATGCACAGCAAGTCTGGAACTGCAAGCGGTCCTGCCATCTCTTAACAGAGGCAAAGGAAACAAAATGCTTGCTCGAATCCTTGGTAGAATGTTGAAGGATCAACATGCGCAAGGCATCCAGTGGCCACGTGAACGTTATCCCCAGGGTGGTGTGCGGTTAGCTGGTTTGTTTTTGAATGCAGCTGTACGGAAGTGCGGGTCTTGGGGGCGGGACTGGCTGCAGTGGGGAATTGTGCTCCTCTCCAGTGGTGTAGAATGGGGGGCACCGGGGCAGTTGCCCCAGGTGCAAAATTGTTAAGGGTGCCAAATTTCAACACCCAGTGCTGCCTCGGCAGAGCTTCCATTCCTGGGCTCCAGACAACGGATCAACTCTTCTCTTCTTGGCTCTGCAGCTGAGATCTCCCAGGTGATGTGGATGCCGTTGGGCAGTTGAATGTGCATGCATACTCCGTCTGTTTCCCTCCTTCCCACCCACCCCCTCAGCATGGCCCCGGGCTCAGGCAACCCACACTATGCCACTGCTCCTCTCTATGATTGCATGCTGTGTTCCTGATCAAAACCATCCTCCCTGCGCTGTTTTCCTCCCCTCAATCTCCTGTTTAGTCAGAAGCAGATCCCATTGCGTTCCAGTGGGGCTCACTCCCAAGAAAGTGTGTTTACGATTGCAGCCCTGAATTTACGGTTATATATCTTGTCTAAGGGGGGACGCGGGTGGCGCTGTGGGTAAAACCTCAGTGCCTAGGACTTGCCGATCGCATGGTCGGCGGTTCGAATCCCCGCGGCGGGGTGAGCTCCCGTCTTTCAGTCCCAGCTCCTGCCCACCTAGCAGTTCAAAAGTACAAGTAAGTACTAAGTGCAAGTAGATAAATAGGTACCGCTTTATAGCGGGAAGGTAAACGGCGTTTCCGTGTGCTGCGCTGGTGCTGGCTCACCAGAGCAGCTTTGTCACGCTGGCCATGTGACCCGGAAGTGTCTCCGGACAGCGCTGGCCCCCGGCCTCTTAAGTGAGATGGGCGCACAACCCTAGAGTTGGACACGACTGGCCCATACGGGCAGGGGTACCTTTACCTTTTTATCTTGTCTATATCCCTGTGTTTCCCCAGACAGTTCAGAGGAGACAATTTCATGTGACTTATTTATGTCCTTATTTTTGATAACTCACATTGATGGAGCATAGGGCCTCTGATTCTCAGGGTCGTGAGTTTGAGCCCCATGTTAGGCAAAAAGACTCCTGCATTGCAGGGGGGTTGGACTAGATGGCCCTTGGGGTCCCTTCCAACTTAACAATTCTATTATTATTCTTTCTCAGCTTCTCACATCCATCTTTGGATACCTCTTCTAAGTTCTCCCTAGTTTTCTGTTGTGTATTTATCCACCTTGCCCCTCAAATTGGCTTTTCCTCTAAGAAAACCCCGTTTTATCCTCACATCAGCCCTGCAAAGTAATGACTGGCTCAAGGTAACCCAGTAAGATTCACAACCAAAGGAGGATTTAAACTTTTTCCAGGGAAGTGTGTGTTACTTCGCCCGCTTCTCTGTTCCAATCTATGTTACAGCTTCCGAACTGAACTCAAGGAAAGCATTCAAATGATCAGGCATCACATATATGGCTTAAGCCTAAAATCTGAGTAGAGATAATCAGCAACAGGAGGCCTTGGGGCCAAATCTGGTCCTTTGAAAATGACTAATAATAATAATAATAATAATAATAATAATAATAAATTTTATTTATATCCCGCCCTCCCCAGCCGAAGCCGGGCTCAGGGCGGCTAACAAGCTGTCTAGCTTTGCAAGAGGTGTGCTGGGGTGGAGGAGTTCTGCCTCTGGCAACATCACATGCCCACAATCCTCTCCCAGGGCAGGGTGGGAATGCAACAACCAATATATAAAACTGCCCTGCTGCAAAATAGCAGAAACAGCAACTTAACCCCACCCAGCAGCTCTCTCTGCCTTCCAGTTTCTGACCAGGACACAACGAGACTCCTGCCACCTTCGAAACTCAGTTAGGTCAGTCCAGCATCCTTGGCGAATCTTCCAGCTTTGCTAGGCCTCTGTCCAGAAAGCCGGTGCCACATCTGCGAGGCTGGGAAGAGGAATCTTGAAGAAGCAATCGGGGTGTATGCGTGTTGCATTGCCAGCAAAGCACTTTGGAAGATCAATGTCACAGCTCAAGGGCAGGCAGAAAAATCAGTCCCTCTCACCGATGTAGACCACCAGCCAGGTATTCTTCAGTGGCTGTGAATGATGAGTTCATTGTGGCCCCCAAACTAAGCTGAGAGAGAGAAGGGGGGAGGGCTATGAATGAAATAAGAGGTTACTCACTGTGCAGCCTTCCAGTGGGTTCTTCATTCTGAACTGCCGGATTCTGTTCTCGTATTTCTGCCTCTGCCCTAACTTGTCCGCTTGGAATTCTAGGAGGCTGGAAGTTCCATGGCAATCAAGCCGGTGTGTCAGCCAAGCGGCTAATTAAGGGACTAACCCTGTAGCTGGTTTCATCCCAGCTACTTCCTGGTAATGCAAACAAGATCCAGAGCCCCTCAAACAATCGTATATAGCAAGGTGACCAACAACTGTTATTGCCCCTTGCCTTGTTTTTCTGTTACAGTGGTACCTCAGGTTAAGTACTTAATTCGTTCCAGAGGTCTGTTCTTAACCTGAAACTGTTCTTAACCTGAAGCACCACTTTAGCTAATGGGGCCTCCCGCCACCGCGTGATTTCTGTTCTCATCCTGAAGCAAAGTTCTTAACCCGAGGTACTACTTCTGGGTTAACGGAGTCTGTAACCTGAAGCATCTGTAACCTGAAGCGTATGTAACCAGAGGTACCACTATAATGCATTTAACAAAATGTTCTGAAATTCTTTATGAATTAATTCATTAATAATAAACCAGGCTTAACTTTTAGCAAATGTTTTGCTTACTTGGGTTTGACTGGTCATCTGTATCACATCATTAGGGTTGCCATACACCTGGAATTTCCAAGTGAAAATAGCAGCCGGGAGGAAGTTTTGGGAAATGGTGATTTTAAGATTGATTGCCTAAGAAAAGCCCAACAACTTTGTGTTTCATTTCCCAAAAAAAGCTTAACAAATTTTGTGTCCTAAATTTTACTGGCAACCCTGTAACTGCACTATGGGACACAGTTGATCTAGGGCCAGCTGCATATCTTAGGCTGAACTACCTTGTACACCTGTTGTGTGGATCAAAGGGAATGAGGTTTTTTTTTGGGTGGGGACTCTCTAAGTGTGTTGAGAGAAGGGTGCTATCAACTTTTTTCTTCTTTTTCTCTTGTTTCTTGAACATTAGGTCAAAGTCTCTCCCTCCAGCTCCAAAGCTTCTCACCCTGCCAAGATCAGTTTTGCCTTTCTGCAGAATGGGTGCAAGAATCACACAAGTTCCAGCCACGGGTGGATTTAAGGGGAAGAGTGTCTGCAACAGTGCCTGCTCTCATAGAAGAAACCTAGATTTCCACAGAGGGAGAAACAAGGCCAAGACATTTTTGCTGCCTGAGACAAAAACATAGCTTTTCTGCCACTGCCACTGCCTCCACCACCACGACCTGAAGCGACTGGAGGCAGCCTGGGGACACCCTGGTGCACTGAAGGCAGTGGGGGAGATAAAAGGAGGTCAGAGAGGAGTGGGAAGTGGCAGCAGCAGCAGCAGCAGCCCTGTTCTTACCAGGTGACAACCATGGGTGACAAGCGAAAGAGGCAGGGAGCAGCATGCTGTTCCGTGTTCAGACCCTGGCTTCTCCAGGGTCTCAGGAAGCAGGGGATGTGAAAAGCTTTGGCCTTAGATGCCGGAGAGCAACTTCCCGTCAGAGTAGACAATGGGGAGATGTAAACAGACAAGTAGTATAAGGCTATACACACACACGGCAAAGAAGGCAAGTAAAGAGGCCTAATACTTGAGTGTTTATTATGAAAGTGTTTTCAAATCAAAATTCACAATATTGATTGGATCCAAATATTCCAGGAAGAATTTTAATTTTTCATATTTAAAAGGGGGGGGGGGGGGAGAGAAAAGAAACCCAGAAGCAAAATCCAAGGCTAAAACACAGTGCTGTATTTCTGACAGTGAAATATACCAGTAAGTTATAGTTCAAAGAGTTCCTCAAACGGTTGGATTGTCTTGAAAACACAGGTGGAAAATTGCACCATTTTGTCCTGACCTGACCTGCTGAAAGTAACCACCATGCAGAGCACACAAATGTGGCTACTGTTTTCAGTATTTAGAAATTTGCAGGGAGATAGAAAAACACCCTCTTGTGCATCAAACCAGCGTGTACCGTTCTTCTTTGAGATGATTCTCATTACCAGTGGTCCTAGTCAACCTACACATCACTAAAGCCCTAGGCTAAAATTAAGGCCGAAATAAATACACGTACCCCCTCCTGCCCTCCATTAAAGTAAGTGGAGGCTATTTCCTAAGTGTATAACTTTATACAAGCAGATCAGTTGCTTCAGTTTCTCTGTCATTACAACTGGAACTTCCTTGTAAGGAAAAATGTGCTAAGTAACTTTTCAATAAATAAACAAATAAATACCAAGACAACTATTTTTAAAAGGAGAAGCTAAAAAACATGGGCAGTTTTTAGCAACGTCCCAGTAGAATCCAAACAAACAAACCAAATCACACTCAAGTCATGCCGAAGTGCAATCAGAGGATTTTTGAAGTTTTGATTTGTGATTTCAAGGCAACTCCATTTATTAAACACTGTGGGTTTTGAGTATTTTGGTCATTCTCACAGTGGCCTACAGAACTGTTGTAATTTTATTATTTGACAAGAGGATTCAGTAATGAATACAGGAGGAAATATAACACCAGGAAGCCTTTAAACAAAAATAAAAATAGAACAATTGGGAGGAGGGAGCAAATAAAGAAATCCCACCTTCTTCTCATTTGTGAGAATTACAGAAAGCCGAAATTAATGGTGTATGAGTTTGGGGAGATGAGAAATATGGACTTCAATAGCCCTATATTCAGAACCCTCTACCATACACTGCAAAAGGGAATGGCAGAAGAAGAACGTCGACCTGAACCACCAGAATACTGTGTAACCTATGCCTTAATATGTACAATGTAAAGACATTCAAAACAAGCTGGCATTGGGTTACACAACTATCTGCCCATAGTTTATTGCAAAATACAGCACGCTCACACCTATGCGCGCACGCACGCAGGCACACACAATAATTTTATTGTTTGTTGCAACACGCTCCGTTCCAGTAGCAGAATGACTTGAAAGGAAAGGTGCATTAATTGATAAAAGAACCACCATGATCACTCCATGGCTTGATATTGTCACTTTTTTGATTATGTGTGAAGATTGGCAATTACCCTCCTTTCCCTACAGTCCCAAATCTAGGCTTTCGGGGTTTATATGCTCATTAGTTCCTTGCAAGTTACAACATGCCAGCCGTTAAGGAAGAAACCAGCTTCACTGAATGACAGCAGGAAAGGGGGAGAATGTGCCGTGCAAATGCCTCCTAAGGGAAGCTAAGATTTCTGTGCACACCATTTCCGCTCGTTTAGCAACCCGTCTGCAATATCTCCCCCATAAGCAAACTCTGGGCTAGTTCACAGAGGGTACTGGCACGTAGACCATGGAAGTGGCAGGGTACAGGGGGTGAGCTTGGGACTCATGTTCCTTTCTCTCCCTTGTATACAGCAGGGATAGCTGGTATGTTGCCCTACAGATTTTGCTGCATTCCCCGTTCCCTTCAGCCCAGCATGGCCAGTCATCAGGGATGATGGGAAATGTAGTCCTGAAGCATCTCGTGGCAATTCTTGGTATAGGAGCTTAATTATCAGCTAGGGTTTAGACATGCCGGCATCTATGCAAACCCCACTGAAGTGTGCAACCAAAAAAAAGGATGCACAGATAATGCGCACAGGCCCAAGATCACATTCAAGGTTCTGCACGCAGAGGGAGGGAAAGCATGAGTGAATCCTAGGCTGAACCCGCATCCTGCCAGATTTGCGGCCTACATGCCGGGTCTTCTGTGAACCAGGCCTCGGATATAAACATATACAAAGGGGTGGGTGGGAGAATGGAAAGTAACTGCCCAAGAAATGAAGTCATGTGTTGAACAAATTCAAAAATGGCAACGAGCATACGTGTATATTTCTTTTTGGCATTTTAAAAATCTGGCACTCTACAGTTGGGATGGAGAATGCAAATTAAACCCCCCACTTCCATCCTCAAGTGGATATATATGTCGAAGATACCTGGTCTTCACTCATTTGTCCCACTTTAAAAATATACATAAAAACACACTTTTTTGTTTTTTAAAAAAGTGTGTTCCATGCCAATACTTAACTGAGGAAATGCACACAATAATAGATCTTACTCCACTACCCCAAGAGCTGGCTAATAAAAAAGTTCAGTCTAGCTAATGGCTACTAACTTCCACACACCATTTTTTTCTTCATTTTTGTCGCTACGCTACACATTTCGGTCACTGCATCTTTTACTCTACTGCTAAACCAAAGAGCTTTTTTTTCCTTCTAACAAGAGCTTGTTTACACAAGACAATTTTGATAATACTAATCCAGGAAACTGAATATCGGTTTGTTTCTAGAAGGGCTTCCTGTGATTGATTACATGTTTTCTTTCTTCCTGGATCCAGTGGCACTTGGCATACACCATAGTGAGAGGCTAACATTGAACTTATGGGCCTACAAAGCGTATTCTCCCTAATTTCAATCCATTTAAGTGAATGGGGAAGCCCTCTTTGCATCGACAGCATCAAAGCGTCTATATCCTTGGTGTTTAAGATTGAGCTGTAATGAAGCCATTTTGTAACCCAGCTAACTTCACAGCGTGCTTTGTAACAGTTTTCTGGTTGCCTGAGGCAAGGTTCAGGAGCTTTCCTCCCCTTAACCTGATTACCATGCATTTCATCGCAACAGTGTGAGCTTATAGAAGCTAATGATGGCAGCTGTTGGTTCTACATTCCCTCCAAAAGCAATGCTTCCACATTCTGGGAAAACCAGACATCTGTCCAAAACTCCTGCCTAAGCAACGCCATAGAGCATTTTGAAAGTCCCAGCCTCCCAATCTGTGTTTGTTGTAAAACTAACCAAAAAACTGAATATAAACTATTGATGCATCCACTTTGCCTTACTATGACAGCGCTTCTCATCCAATGTCCATGCAGACTCTCTTTATTCAAGTTCTATGCTGCACAGAGGACTCAAAACTGAGATGCACCGGATTATTAGTTATGAGAAACTTAAGAGCCAACCCACAATGACTCTTAAATGACAGCATGGAAAGAGAGATTCTAGTGGCAACTAATATCCAATATCCATAGCGGTTCTGTTATTGTTTTATATCCCTCCACTCTAATATGCTTCCTGTTCTTCAGCTCTCGAGTTACTTTTACTCCATTCACTTTATGGGCACCCTTAATTTGTGTTTTGCATGTTGGCACATGTCACATAACTTCTTTTTTTTTTTTGGCAGAGAAACTGATTTTTCTACTTGGTCCTGATGGGCTGAAGTGACATTGTTGAAATATCAACACATGCAACATGAATGAACATAACACAGATATGGAATCTAACTTGTTGCGTCGAGATTTACGAGACCAATCCAGCACACCTCAACCCACTAGGGAACAGCTATTAACCCAAAACATGTTCTGTTGGGTTGGCTTCAAAAATGGTCGCATGGATTGTGATGAAAAATAACCTTTCCTCTGCAAAGAACAACCACCTTTCCATTCTCTCATGTATAGAATAAAGCCAGAGTATAATAAATACTGTATGGCTTGAGCAAATGTTAAGGGTGATTTGGTTGCCGGAGATGTGCAAAAAGGATTTATGGCTCAAAATAATTTCTGGTGGGAGGCAGGGCTCTTATGATTCCAAGCAATTGCTTATTGCTTCTTTCCATCTTTCCCTGCATGTAGTTCTTTGGCATACATGTTACCTCTGTGCCCAACACCAACAGAAAACAAAAATGGCACACAGAAAAGAGAAGTTGTCTTCTTTGCCAAAACTGGCTTTACTAAGCACAGAAATAATGTGAAAGAAAGGTCGTTTTATCTAAGGATCTTATGGGAAACCAGGAAACCTCTACTGCAGAGAGATGAAGAGTGGGGGGAAGGATCTAACTCTTGTTATTCCTGCTGATTTCCTTTAAGAACATATCAATAGCTACAGGTAAATCTTTATCAGTAAATCAACAGGCTTAGAGTTACTGCCAGCTGTATTTCTCTAGTAATTAAGAAGAGCCTTGGATGCTTGTGGCTGATTCATACAAGGGTACATCTAACCATCAGTTTTCCATGTTCCTGGGTTGCGCTCAATGGCGCCAACAGTTGCAAGTGTTGTGAGCTAAGAAAGAGAGAAAAGACTGCTATGAGACTCGTACAACCATCAAAGTTCCCTTGGGGACTCTTCTGTGGTGTGGCACAGGACCAGTATTAGGTAAACTGTCCTCTCACAAGTAAGTTGAGGAAGTGGGAAGAAACAGGGCACACTCTTCTCTTAAAATCAGAGCCACCTAGCCACACAATCTACCAAGAACACAACCTCATACCAAGCAGGGTTGATGGACTGTGTCCTCGTTGAATCCCGAATGAACTGCCTAATATTTATTTTAAGTGTGGGCAAAAGCTTTCTAGCAGGCACTTAAAAGAAACCTCAGGCAGTAGAACAGGGATGGAAAACCTCTAGATGTTGTTGGACTCCATCGGCCCCAGCTAGAGCTGGCAAAGGTCAGGAATGATGTCCAACGATAATCAGAGCGCCCCAGGTTCCCCATCTGAGCAATAAGGCCTAATTGTCACAAGAAGTATGCGAGGAAGTATAACTGTGTCTGGACTGTACCACTTCAGTGCAAAAGGGGGTGGCACACGTGATTTAATGCAAACAATTCCCTGACTGACAGGAGAACGGCTTTAAGCTTGAACATCCTCAACATATCCCGTGGCTTCTAGTTTCTATGCACATGGAATATATTTGTATGGCAAAAGTATTCAGTCAACATAGTCCCCAATTGCTGTATGCAGTGGTACAGTCCAGACACAGGCTGCCAATGTACCATGCAGATATCTCCCCAATGTCTTGTATCTATTTTATTCCCAGTAAGCAATTCTTTTCTGCCTCTATTCTTCTTGATGCTGGTTCTAAATATGATTCAAGTCCAACTTTTGTATACATGACTATGCGCTCAAGTAAGCATCTTTCCTCTGAAACTAAACAAAAGGCATCCCCAGAAATTTTTTAAATCAAACTGGAGGTTAAAACTGCAAGGCAGGACTCATCTGTAAGACTTGAGTTGTTCTTACCTGATGTAAACATAGTTTGGGCATTTGCACAAACAGTGAGCTCTGATCTAATTTGCCACCAATCTTGTAAAAGACAGCTAAAATCCCATCTTACAATAGTTTCATATGGACTGGCTCCATTACAGGCGGTTTAGAAATACTAATGCACCATTTTAAAACTCCTCTCTAGGGTGAGGGGAGTGACCACTGTGTCTGTAGTGGGAGTTTCTAAAGTCAGCATCCTTCGACACAAAAACAGCAAATTAAAACAAAAGCAACCTAGAACTAAAGAGGAACTTTTATAAAGGTTTGTTGTGATGCTAGATACTGGGCTAGAGAAATGAAGCACGGAAACGTACCTTAAAACTTGGCAGCCCCTGGCCCTGATGTGAAGTCTGAAAGAGAATCTTGCTCCCTTTCATCCACAAGTCACCCCCAAATAAGATCTAAAATAAATAATCATCAAAGCCTACAGAAGAAAGTACTGCTCCCATCTGGTCATGTATATATATCTATATACATACAGCATGCCTACATAAAGAACATGGTGTGGCGCTGTCATTCACAAACAGGAAACACAGCAGTACGCTATCAGAAGCTTTAAATACTCCATGTGTTTTGTTTTTCTCTGATGTTGAGAAACAAAAAGAATAAGGGAAGGAAGAAAAGACAAAACGAAACAAAAAACAAAACCCAGCATTCACAACCGATTGACTTCCAGTAGCAAACAGTTTGTCTTGTTCGTGTATCCGTGTTTAATCCAGGGATTAGTGTTCCTCTGCAGAGTTGCCCCCAGTGAGATACCCGTTTGTTCCGTTTGTTCCGCTCGTCCCATTGGTGGTGGCTGAGCTGTGGGAGGTCTTTGAATGAGGAGCTGTGGTGGGCTCTTCATCTGAACTAGACTCAATGTCACTTCGGTCATCCTTCGCCTGCAAAAACAAAACAAAAAAATGGGTGTGAAAAAGGGGGAGGGAGGTAACGTATTGGAGGTTATTTCATAACGGAAATTAAATCAACCCTCCCTTTGTTCACACCCCCCAAATCCGAAGTTAAACATAACCTATCAAGCTTCTATCTAGCCTTTACTCTTAAAGCTTTTCATCTGTGTGCTTTCGAGTGTTGCACACAATAGTATGGTGGGGAACAACTGCGTCTGCCCTGTCTCATATAAAGTGAGGTTTTGTTGTTTTAACATTGAAGGAGGGCCACATGGGTGAGGGGACCTAAATCACCTCCCCCCCCCGCCCCCATCTTATCTCCCTACATCCTATCAGTTCAAGCCTTTCTTCTTCCAGCCCAGCTCACTTCTGGTCTAGGAAGCAGGATGTGAGGAGGTAGAGAAAGGAAGTGGAGGTGCAGGGAGGTGGATTTGATATCCTGCCTTTCACTCCTCTTCAGGAGTCTCAAAGCGGCTAACAATCTCCTTTCCCTTCCTCCCCCACAACAAACACTCTGTGAGGTGAGTGGGGCTGAGAGACTTCAAAGAAGTGTGACTGGCCCAAGGTCATTTCCCATGTTTAAACAAACTGATACATATCTCTCTTTCACTCCTGAGAACATGCTCAATACCTTTGGGCTTGGAAGCCCTCAACAAGCGTGCATTTTAAGCAGAGTGGCTGTGCAGAAAGACAACCACTGAAGAAACAAGGAGAGAAGATGCAATAATAATAATGATGATGATGTTTGCGTGGCATGTGTGTTCATTTTCCCTCAGGGAAACTTACATGCAAAGGGTTCCACTTCCCAGCCTTCAAAGGCAGCAGAAAGAAAATAATTAAGAAGGTTAAGAAAGAAGACACATATTGTTTGGTGTTAAACAAGTGACTTCTGCTAGGACAGAAGAGAACAAAATGCAGTTCTGAGAGAACAGACAGAGAACTACCAGAATCACTGAAGGCTCAACTCCATAGAAGCCACATTCTTTGATACAGTAGCACCCTGTTACTGTCTATACCAGGGGTCTGCAACCCGCGTCTCCGGAGCCGCATGTGGCTCTTTTACACCTTTGCCGCGGCTCCGGGCGGATACTAGCGAGGGGAGGAGGCGCATTGTGTGCCCCGACACTCCCCACTGTTTTAAATGTCGCAATGGTTTTGCGGCTCCCAGTTTTTTTTTCTTTGGTCCAAGTGGCTCTTTTTGTCTTAAAGGTTGCAGACCCCTGGTCTATACAGACTACACTGCAATACTATGGGGTTGCAGAGGAAGCTCTGAATTCCAGAGCCCTAGGGCGAAAGCTCAGGGCTGCTTTGCACATTGCAGTTTTAAGGTGTACCTATGGGTAGGGACGCGGTTGGCGCTGTGGTCTAAACCACAGAGCCTAGGGCTTGCCGATCGGAAGGTCGGCAGTTCAAATCCCCGCGATGGGGTGAGCTCCCGTTGCTCAGTCCCTGCTCCTGCCAACCTAGCAGTTTGAAAGCACATCAAAGTGCAAGTAGATAAATAGGTACCGCTCTGGCGGGAAGGTAAACAGCGTTTCTGTGCGGTGCTCTGGTTCGTCAGAAGTGGCTTAGTCATGCTGGCCACATGATCCGGAAGCTGTACGATGGCTCCCTCGGCCGGTAAAGCGAGATGAGCGCCGCAACCCTAACGGTCAGGGGTCCCTTTACCTTTACAAAACCCTTTAGAAAAAATGTAATGCATGGAAGCAAGCAAACCCATGTTTGCAAGTGCATAGATCATACAAATGTGTTTGCCAGTGAACTGGAACTGATAGCAGCTTCCGGACAAGTTTACGTTTGAAGTGGAAGATGCAAATTTCCTGCCAATATCATGTGTTTGTGGCCTTGAGAAGTATAGCAAACAGCTTCTCTGGTTACAGTAAACAAGTTCCATAGATGAACCAAGGTAAGCCTAAGTGGAACAGCTGCTTGCTATACCATGCTCAATTCAACTGAATGCTCAGACAGTCAATATTAAACATACAGTTTCAAGACCTGATGTGTCTTCTGGAAAGGAGTGACAAGTTTTTGCCATGGATTGATAAAGTCAAGTGACTTGAGTGAACTGTGCTAGTTGAAAAAAAAATTACACACTAGAAAGCAGAAGACAGCTTTTGTTTTTTTCCTTACCTTGCCTTTTAAAATTGCTTTATAGGCTGCCTTTACTATTAGATAAGACCAAAAACAGTGGAGAACTTGAAGTACCAGAAGTAAAATGATAAAGATCGTCAAGGAAGGAAAGCCACCAACTGCTTCGGGCAGTTCAAATATTGTTGTGTTCAATACCCTGGAGAAAAGGGAAAATGGCAAGTCAATATAAAACAAGAGAGAGATGGTTCATTTCTCAGCAATGCTTCCCACCCCTACTGGAGTCATTATGAATGTAATAACAGAGCATGAAAACTGGTCACTCAAGCGAGCCCATCCACATTATCAATGATCTCCAATATGAACAAGCTCTGGAATGCTTTAAAATCAATACATCTGCATCATGGCTTCCCAAAGTGGTTGATACTGACCTCCTGGGGTCAGTGGAACTGTGCATGAGGTGAATAAAGACTCTGGGGTCAATAGGGGGTCAAAAAGGGACTGGGATTTAAAATAGGTTTGGGAGACTGGGGGGTGGGGGGAATAATTAGGAACTATGAGTTTCAGAAATAAAAGGCATGCGCTTCCTTTGCCAGTGAGGAGCCTCTGTATTTAATAAGATGCCTCCACAAAACAACAGTACTCTCAGACCACGCTGTTTCGTTGCTAAAAGAAACTGTATACAGGTGCAGAGTTTCACTTTTTAAACAATTATTTTTATAGCATCAAAGTAATAATTCCAACACCTCCCACAAAGATATAAAAGGAAGCTGTCATCTGGAAAACTCTAAGCTTTTATTGAGCTACAACCCCACCTGCTGCCCCAACTTATTCATATGCTTGTTAAAAGCCGTAATTCTCATTAGAATGCTATTATTTTCACTCGTTTTACTCCTTACATGTTATGATTCCTAGTAATGGTTACTAATGACTGATAAGTGTTGACTGCATATTATTTCTTGACTTTATTTCATTTACATTCCTAAGAATTTGGGTCAGTGTCAATGACACCTTTATAAGCTCATCAATGGGTCAAAATGAGCCCTGAAATTTGAGAAACCCTGTTTCATGGGAGGCAAGTCTACACATTGCTTTGCTTTCCCAGTGACTCCCATTGTATTTTATTTATGTTCCTCCTTTCTTCTATGATGGAACTCAAGGTGAGGCTTCCAAGGCAGTCTTCCCAAACAAGACACTCACCTTAGCCATCTCTGCTTATTTATTCATTGTTTCACCTCTGAATTATCAACCCAGGACATTCAATCTGGATGAACTAATGTATTCATCTAAAATGCTTACCAGTACTGTTTCCATTGGACTGGTTCCTGCATATTAAAAGCCCTGCATCAACACTAGCATATCATGTGACTTGAAGTAGCACTGATCAGTTCCCGTAATCTCATTTTGGTGTGAATGATATATGACCCGTTGAATCCCCAAATGGACTAATCAATAATTAACAGAACATCAGCATATTGAAGATTGTACAAGCTATTCTAGGGCTCAACTGATATCAAGTTATCTAATAGAAAAATGAATGATGACTGGCAACCCTATTGTTTTATAATCTTCCAACTTTTTGTGAGGTGGGAGAGACATAGATGTATATATTGGTGAACTGGTTAATGAAATGTGTGTGTTTCATATTACATTCTTCTCTCCCACCCCCATTCTGCATTCTTACCTAATGAATAAACCACTACTCTGATATGATGCTTTTGACTATTATTCCAGTGGACTGAATCATAACAGAAACTAGTTTAGGTAGCTAGACAAAGATTACTAGTATTGCTGACACTCCAAGACACTTAGATTGATCCATGTTATGACCCTGAGCTATGCTACTAATACTGTTATAAGCATTTGATTACTTAGTTTTAATGGAAATTTAAATACACTATATAAAATGAAATGTTTATTTTTTTGTAATAAATCATTGTTGTTCAATGATAAAGACACACCTGGCTCTCATAGGTTCTGCAGTAAACATTTAGTAAGTTTGACTAAAGGGGGGGGGACTAATATGGATGATTAATATGGATGATAGCTCACTGAATTAATATTTTCTACAGGGGTTGGGCTTTTGCAGCAAATATAACAGAGAGCTTTGTGGCATCTTAAAGACCAAGAGATTTATAATTCCACGAAAGCTTATGTCATAATAAATTGGTATTTATTGATATACAAGACTCTTGGCTAAATTACAGATGTAGTAGACTGAATTTAACCACTAGATGGCATGTTTAGCAAGTTAACGTCAACTGTTTATATGGCATTGGGCTTGTGTCAGTGAAAGAAGATTCCACCTAAACATTAGGAAGAACTTCCTGACAGTAAGAGCTGTTCGACCGTGGAATTTGCTGCCAAGGAGTGTGGTGGAGTCTCCTTCTTTGGAGGTCTTTAAGCAGAGGCTTGACAACCATATGTCAGGAGTGCTCTGATGGTGTTTCCTGCTTGGCAGGGGGTTGGACTCGATGGCCCTTGTGGTCTATTCCAACTCTATGATTCTATGATTCTAATCTTCTGACATACATTGGCTTGGCATGCTGTGCTGTTCTGCAAACTTTTGTGGTGGAAAACTAACATAATCAGTATGGCTGGGTTTAAGCCTCACACTTGGGATGGTTGACAACTGGGGCCAGAGGCAACTAAAGTAAAGGTGCCAAGATAACTTCAGATGAAAGATGGAGAATGAGACTCATGGTAAAAAACAACAACACTCAAGTTAATCAGACAAAAGGCTCTGAAGAATCTTCTCAGTGCTTAATTTGGAGGGGGGGAATGTATTCATTTACTGATTTTTGTATGTTCTTTTGGTAGTTCACAGAACAAAGAAGCCCAAAAAGATGTGAGAAAGTAGCTAGGACCTGAAATGCAGAAACATCAAGTAACAGTGGGTGGTATACAAACAAGTTGAAGGGTAGGACTTGACCACAGTTATCAAACAAAGCCCATGGCTTGGCAGGGATTTGAACCAGTTTCCCATTGTCCTAATCCAGGTGGTTTGCAACTCACGACTTGGGAAATCCTGACCTATAGGAACCCTGGACTGGCTACAGAGGAGTTAAGACCAGCTCCAATAAAAAAAACTGTGCATTTGGAAAAAGTTGGCATTATTCCATTCTAAGTTGGTGAGAATCTGTTAGTATTATTACTTAATTTAAAGGTAAAGGTACCCCTGCCCGTACGGGCCAGTCGTGTCCGACTCTAGGGTTGTGCGCCCATCTCACTTAAGAGGCCGGGGGCCAGCGCTGTCCGGAGACACGTCCGGGTCACGTGGCCAGCGTGACATCGCTGCTCTGGCGAGCCAGCACCAGCGCAGCGCACGGAAACGCCATTTACCTTCCCGCTATACAGCGGTACCTATTTATCTACTTGCACTTAAGAGTGCTTTCGAACTGCTAGGTGGGCAGGAGCTGGGACCGAAAGACGGGAGCTCACCCCGCCGCGGGGATTCGAACCGCCAACCATACAATCGGCAAGTCCTAGGCACTGAGGTTTTACCCACAGCGCCACCCGCATCCCATTTACTTAATTTATACGCCGCTTAATGCAAAAAACAGACTTCCAAGAGGCTTCTGAAGTATAAAAACCATGTTTCAAAAATATCACTAAAATGCACACTAAAACAATCCCACATAATCATCCATACTGTCAACTAGGCAGAGAAGAAGAAGATTATCAGTTGGAGAGCAGAGCCTTTCCTGGCCTGCCTATTTCTCTTAGCTAACTAAGACAAAAGAGTTTATCATTCATAGCCTTGAAACAGGGATACACCTGCGCATGTGTGGATGAGGTTAGCAATGGGGCTAGACAGTCCAGAAGTATGGCCTAGTAGTGGTGGGGGCAGGAGGCAGACCAATATAATTCAGACTCACAAATATGCCACAATGGGAATGAAGAGTGGCTGATGAAAGTTAGAAAACAGCAATAGCACAACACAACACGAAGAGTCTTCCAGCTTAAAGTATTTAACATTTCCTACGTAAATTATCTGTGCACTCCTTGACTGAGCTAGAAGAAATCTTTCTAAACTTTTACCGCTGCAGTAACTACACAAGCCATTAACTGCACATTGCTATGGATTATTCGCTCTCAATGGTCAGTGCACTTGCGTATTACTGATGACATTTCTCTGCTCTCTTCTGCAAAAACACACAGAAGTGTTAAGTCAACTACAGCAATCTAAAACTAAAGCGCACTCATGCACTGGCTTTCAGATTCACTTCTCTGTTCTTGCAGCAAGTCTGAAAGTATTTGACACAAGTACTTGCAAAATGTATGCGGCAAAAGAAAGCTAACTGACAAATGCATCCTTTCATCATTTTTCAGTATGAGATAAATTAGTTTAAGCTTAATTATCCAGCTGGACTATGCATCTGAATAGCTATTTGCAAAATTTATATGCTACTAACCTGCTCACAGGGGCTATTATAGCAGCCTGCAATAAAAATTTCTTTTGGGTTGTTATGCCAGTATTTATTCCTAAACAAGCCAAAAGAGAATTTCCCAGAAAGATGAGAAAGGAGAAAGATGAGGTGACAAAATGGGAACGTCTTTAGCAACTGCACAACATATACAATTTGAAGCATTAATCATTAAAATGGTGGTGCCTTCTGTTTTAGCATTCTCCACAGAAATTTAAAGTAATGACTACCTCTGAATTTCACATATTGGACAGGGTTCTATTAATTTTTATCTGCTGAAAACTAAGGGGTATATTTAGCCATCTTTTTGCATTAATTTAAAATGCATTTTTAAACCACCCCAGACATTGGATACTAGACTTACTTAAATTTAGCCCGGAAAAATAATTAATGGTGCTTCCTTAGTTTCCCCATACTCTTTAAAAATTAGTACAGTCGTACCTTGGAAGTCGAACGGAATCCATTCCGGAAGTCTGTTCGACTTCCAAAACATTCGTAAACCAAAGCAAGGCTTCCGGTTGGCTGCAGGAAGCTCCTTTGGAATTGCACAAGGGGGGAAAAAAGAAAATCTGCCTCTACCGGGGGAGGTCATATGTAAACAAGCAGATTTTTGCAATATCTTCCTACCAAACCATTAAAATAAGTTTTTTTAAAATTCATGCAAATGTTCAAGGATGCACGTGAATAAACTAACACTACCAAAAAGCAGTGGAGGTAACTATTGTACAGATTTCCTGGCTTATTTATCCATCTTCCTGATACCATTAAATTAGGCCAAAGCCACATAATTGATAATGATGACACAAAGTTTGTGCTCTATTGTTCCATGCTGCAGCTGCTGCAGAGCCAGCTCGTCAGCTGAATGCCCCCAAAACCACCTTTTGTGGTGCTCTGTTCACATGGACCAGATTAGCAATGCAACTACGATGACTTAATCAAAACATGGTTGTATCAACCCGATTTTGTTTGTCCTGTAGGGGCTTTGGGGACCTTCTCTAGGAAGAGCGGAAGAGTTAACTGAGGATCCTGCACAAACACTGACAGATGAAGAGCTTGAGGAGCTGGTGAAATCATGTGCAGAAAGCGACAGTAAATAAGATGGTGATGTAGAGCAGGAGGCAGCAAGTTGGGACCTGTAAAAATATTCCGAACGCTTCCGTGCCATTAAGCACATGAACGATACGATTTATGTCAGGGAACTGCCATCAGCTCAGAGGCGAGAGGTGGGAGGGTAGTTGTGTTATAGGGAACCTCCGAAAATCTTGCGAAGCAGCTCCTCCTCCGACGAGGAGGAAAGCCCCACCTCCAGTGGAGAGGAGGTGCAGCAACCAGGGGATGCTAGGGAGAGCCTCAACACTGAGCCTGAGCAAACAGGAAAGGAGGGAAGCACCCCTTTGCCAGCGCCCACTCTGTGCAGTAGGTTTCGGTGCAAGGAGGGGAGGAGAAGGCTGGGGGTCACGCGACTGTTATGCTGGGGGAGGTACAAAGACCACCCACTCCCAGATTCTGCTAGCGATTGAGCCGGACATGAACTTACGACGCTCTTCACTGTAAATAGTTTGCACTGAGAATAAAGCCTGGAAAAGGCAGGTCGGAGCAACCACACCAGCCCCTGACAATTTATGACTACGATCCCTCCATAAAACATACCTTGGATTACACTATGGGATTACAGACACCTCAGAGAGAGATGCTTGAAGAGGCAACAGCGGCAGGAGTGATCCTGTGAGCAAGTATTGCTGTAGGTGGTAACAATTAGCCCCCAAAGTGGGAGCATGTGATTGGGCTGGCTGGTTGCCATAATTGATTGATTAGTAGCTTGGAGAGAGGACTCAGGAAAGCGACCCCCTCCTTGACAATGCTGGGTTGTTAAAAAATTTTTTTAATGGCTTCTTACAGGTTTTCCTTGCATTACGTGTTTGTGTGTAGTTCCCAGGAACTGACCCCATGTGTAAGTTGCAGGCTTATTGTACTTGAACTTTATTTATGGTGCACAACACAAAATGCACAGTTTAGTTGTCTACAGACTCAGATCACATTATATCATATTCCGTGGGTTCCACTATGAGATAAGCTGATTCTTTAGTGGTCCTGCCAAACTAATTCAGTATGAGAAGCAGCAGTACATAAGAAAAGCAACCATAGCCCTTGAGAATGACAGGAAAGGGGCCCTAGAGTGGCAGTTCCCCAACTCATTTGGCCTAACACTCCCTTTTCGGGGGGGGGGGAGATACTCAGTGCCCTCCCTGAAATCCACCTTCTTTAAGTGAACAAGCAGAAGGATGTAGTCACAGATTTGCATTCTTTTATGTACAGTGGTGCCCGCAAGACGAATGCCTCGCAAGACGGAAAACCCGCTAGACGAAAGGGTTTTCTGATTTGGAGGTGCTTCACAAAACGAATTTCCTATGTCTTGCGAGTTCCTGCAGGGTTTTTTCCCTTCTTCCCTTTTTCCCAAGCCGCTAAGCCACTTATCAGCTGATCCGCTAAGCCGCTTAACAGCTGATCCGCTAAGCTGCTTATCAGCTGATCCGCTAAGCCGCTTATCAGCTGATCCACTAAGCCGCTTAACAGCTGATCTGCTAAGCCGCTAAACCGCTTAACAGCTGATCACTAAGCCGCTTATCAGCTGATCCGCTAAGCCGCTTAACAGCTGATCCGCTAAGCCGCTAAACCGCTTATCATCTGATCTGCTAAGATGCTAATCTGCTTATCATCTGATCCGCTAAGCCGCTAATGGGCTTGCTTCGCAAGACGAAAAAACCGCAAGAAGAGGAGACTCGCGGAACGGATTCTTTTTGTCTTGCGAGGCACCACTGTATCTATGTTTCTACCTATGCCCCACAACACAGTAAAAGAAAGATGATGTTGTAAATAGGCAGGCAAACTGTGACCCAGTTTCCAAGCCTGGGTGAAGCCAAAAAGGGTTTACCCAAGCCTGGGAAAGTGGGATCCAAGCGAGACCCAACGACGCCTGACCTGCCAGTAAGCATGATTCCACAACAGATGAAACATGTACGAATGGCTTCCCAAAATTTTCTTATCTTCTTTCTTTATGCTTCCACTGCCCCCTTATTTTTATCCAACGAGCCCCATTGCACCTGAGGCTACTGCCACCTCCCCCTTGATCGTTCCAGCATCCCCCAGGGGGCGGCATCGGCCACCCTGGGAAATGCTGCCCTAGAGGCAGGATGTGCTCTATCTAACCAGACTTAAAACCCCTGTAGTTCCATGGAAGCAGCAGATTTACTCACCATAAAGGATACAATCCAAGCCTTGTAATCATGAAAATGACAGCAAACGAGAGGAAGAGGAAATCACACAACTTTTGACATTTGCAGTAGTTTGCCATTTTGGCTGCCTATAACGAGGAAGGAACACGGGTTATCTCCTTAATAAAGTTACGTCTAAAATAATTATTGCACACAATACCAGACAATTAATATTCAAATGATGCATAGCATATCAGTGTGAACTCTTTAGTGCCCTTACCTCTTCTACTGACGATGCTTCACACAGCGGCCTCATTTGCATATCACACTAAGCCAAACCATGGCTTAGTGTAATCACACAATTGTGCAGGTTCTGGGAGAGGAGATTATGGCTGCCTCGTTCTCCCTGGTTGTTTTGTTGAGCCAAGTCATTGCTTGGCTTCATGAGTCACCCAAACACAGGCTTGCAGTTTAGCTCTCTCCAGACCAACCAAAAGTGGTAATCATGGTTTACTACTCATGGTCTCAGTACAGGAGAGTTAAAAGAACCCCCAAAAGCCAACATTTTAGCCTTCTTTTCTGTGTGTTTTAAAAAAATAAAAATCAGAAAAACCTAGGGCAAATAAAAATTCAAACAATACTAAAAGCAGCAATAAAAAAAGACAGGCGTTAAGGGTGAAATTCTATATACATTTACATTGGAATAAATTCCATCAAGCAATATGAGATAACCTTCTTACCAAACATGGCATGAATAGGACTGTGCTGCAGAACACAGCAGAAACAGATTTTTGAGAACTCACATTAAAAGCGATTAGGTATTCCATAGATTTGCCTGTCACATCTCATGTGTACAGGGGACAGAAAGCAACAGCTCTGCAGCTCACCTTAAGTGCCATGTAGGCTCACGTGGGAACAGGCAGTTCTGGAGGTAGCCTGGCCCCAAGGCTAAAACCAGCACTTTAAATTGATCCCAGAAACAAACAGGCAGCAATGAAGATGAGGAACATGGCTAGACTAATAAGCTCCAATCTTTGGACCCTAGTCTGGCTGCCACATTTTGGACTAAGTAGGACACGAATAAGTAGGCCAGGTGTGTTTTCAAGAGAGGAGGCAACAGCAGGTAAATCATTCAAAGCTGATGAAAGGAAGTCTTCACTGCTGCCTGTATACCCAAGGCGCAAATAATGTCTCTGCACTGCGCACCTGCCCTTTCAGGGGAAATATAACCCTTGTCTGCAACAGGCTTTATATATACACCCAGGTCTCCCAGAATAAAAGTGATGCTAGTTATACAGACCTTTGCTATGATTCAGCAACTACATAGTATGAAAAAGCATTGCCGTAGTCAGTTAAAATGTGGAGATTCTATGGACTCCCAAATCCTATATGGTTTTTTTCAAGAACTCACTGAATAGCCATGTTTGACAAGTACAGCCCAACTGAAAACTTTTTACTCAAAAGAATGTTTCACTGTGCTCACGGTGCTTAAGAAAAGCAGCACTGAGCCACCTCTGAGACAAATTTCAACAGCTAGAAGCTTTCATGGGCTTTAGCAGTGTTTCCAAAATTTGGTTTTTTAGACTACAATTTCCATCATCCCTGACTGCTGTTCTTGCTAGCTAGGGATGATGGGAGTTGTAGTCCAAAAACAGCTAGAGACCCAAGTCTGGGAAACACTGGGCTGTAGCCTACTACTTTAAAACGTCGTTTGTTCTGGAAGAAATGTTTTGAAGACATGAAGATTTCTTATGGCTAAATTTCTCTCTCTTACTCTCACCTCCAGCACGCTGTCTACCACATCATGAAGACACATAGTTAGGACTCCCACTCGGATGAAATTGACTGTGTAGGAGAGGGTTATCAAAATGACTGCTATGATGTGATGGGTAAACATGATGGTAAAGTCCTGAGGTGGAGAGATAAACGGAGTTACAACATTTGTTCACAAATTAATTTGGCTTTTCAAACATTTATTCTTACAGATATATAAAATTAAATAAATACCAGATATACAAACTCTGCACATATATTTTATGAGAGAAGATTAGAATGCAGTCAGGAACTTAGCAGGGGCACAGGAAACGGCCTTGTGCTGAGTTAGGCCATTAATCCATCTATCTTACTATTGTCTGCAAAGAATGGCAGTCGCTCTCTGGGGTTTTAGGCTGAAATTCAGACAGCACCTTCTGAGTCCTGATGCTCTACAGTTTAGTTTTTTTGATTGAAATATTTACAGAGTGTCCGGCATACTCAAATATCGCAGTAGCGCACAATAGTAAAAAAACAGATTAGAACAGTTTTCCGAACAGAGATTTGACAGTGACCACAATTTTTTTTGGGACGCGGGTGGCGCTGTGGGGGACGCGGGTGGCGCTGTGGGGATGCGGGTGGCGCTGTGGGTAAAAGCCTCAGTGCCTAGGACTTGCTGATCGAAAGGTTGGCGGTTCGAATCCCCGCGGCGGGGTGTGCTCCCGTCGCTCGGTCCCAGCACCTGCCAACCTAGCAGTTCGAAAGCACCCTCGGGTGCGAGTAGATAAATAGGGACCGCTTACTAGCGGGAAGGTAAACGGCATTCGGTGTGCTGCGCTGGCTCGCCAGATGCAGCTTTGTCACGCTGGCCACGTGACCCGGAAGTGTCTCCGGACAGCGCTGGCCCCCGGCCTATAGAGTGAGATGGGCGCACAACCCTAGAGTCTGTCAAGACTGGCCCGTACGGGCAGGGGTACCTTTACCTTTACAATTTTTTTTTAGCATCCTACCAAAGGTGCACAAGTTCGGAGCCTGTCTTACTTCAAAGGGGGAGTAAAATACAGCCCATTCTAGCGACAGGCCCATTGTGAGATTGCAATATTTCCATGCTGCTTTTTTCTATGTAAGCTGATGTTTGTGCAAGTTCGAAGAATTATGACAGAGCCTGAAGTTGTAAAAGGATCAAAGTAGTTTAATACCATACCAACACCCCCAAATTCTTTATTTGCTGGTAACTTGAAGTAGCAAGGCAGAGCTTAGCAGCAGCAGGAGAGCATCTGTTTCTAGGACTTCCCTTGTGATGTATATGATAGCATTTTCAAGTATAGTAACATCTAGAAACTGCCAGGGCCTTTGCTAAAACTACATGACTTCATTTCACACGAATCCAACACATTCCTTCCCTCTCAAAAATGCAAATAAACCATTTAATTGAGGTAGCCATTTTCTAAAATCCTTTAAACTGACCTCAAAACAGCATCTCTCTCTCTCTCAAAATACCATCTGTCATCTGACCAAAACTCAGCAAACACATACATAAATTTGACTGATGTTAAAGTAATGACATTCTGGGGCAGCTATAAGCTTCTTAGGAGACCACACTCCCCACATGACTGTTTCTGTCTTCCATAAATACAATGTAGGAATGTGTAAAACAAAACAACCGCTGCCCCCCCCAACTCTTGCGCATACATCAAAACGCAAAGTGTGCCACTGTGAACTGGTGAAAAAAGTTCATCTACCCAGTCACATTATTTTCACAGAATGCTGAGCTGATAATACATGCTGGACTGCAGATATTGCTCATTAATCTTCAGTCAGGCAGGGATAATCTACTGGAATTTATACCCCACCAATAACTGAAAGAGGCTTTTGAACATCAGCAGTCAGTTCTATTGGAAGGTATTTCCCCGTCAGGAAATTGCTATTAGGGCAAAGAGCAGTGTAAGCACATCTCTGTGGTAGATTTCACTCTCATTCTAGGATCACACCATTGCCGGACATGATCCAACACATCTTTCCCCTCTACAAAGAATATTCCTTCTCGCTACCAAATTGGCCCAGAAGGCCAAGAAGCTGGATCTCCTGCGCAAGGACTTCTGTTTGCACAATGGATCTTCCTCCCTCTTCTCTCTGCATGCCCTCTACGCTCCCCCAAAGTGGCTACTGGAAGGTTGGCAGAAACCCCTAAAACAGCACATCATGGGAGAAGCAGGGGGATGGCATGATCAGAACAGTGTGATGTTGAATCCCTCTCCGTATGTTCTGGTACAGAATTCTTCCAAAGCTTTTTGGAGAGGCTGGAGTTTGCTAGCAGATTGTAGTTTGCTAGTAAACTGTAGTTTCTGTAATCACCGTATGTTTGCGCAATGATCTAATAAATTGTCTTAAATGCTTTGACTGCTCAGAGCATTTATGTGACTGAGCATAAGCCAACCCAAATTATTTGAATTAACTACATTCATTCGATAATTGAGTTAATAAAATGGATGATGAAAATGCTTATTCTTCTGCTCTCCAGATGTGCATCCACCATCTCTAAGCACCAGTGACGTTTGTTTATTCAAAAACATTTTCAGTTGATGGGACTCGTTAGTTGAATCCCACGGCCCCTCCAGACGGAGTTTGGAGTCTGGTGAGTGCTGCTGGTTTTGTAAAGGGTTTCCAGGGTTTAGACTAGAGGATGTTTGCAGGCTTTCCCAATGTCGTTTCAAATGTACACAATGTCACTTAAATGTGCGGTGCCTTTGGAAAGTGGCCCCCACGTATATGGGGAGTTGCCTGTATGAACAGTGGCCAATATTGCCACACAGCACTGGAGATGTTAAAAACCATTTCAAGCTGGTTTGCAAATGTCAGCAAATGTTGCTGCCCCAAAATGCAGTTGTTTTCCACCGCTGCCATCACTGCATTTAACTTTGACAGGAGTTCACAGCTAGAAACAGGTTGTGGCTAATTCAATGTACAAGCGTTCACCAAAGCGTACTTTCACAGCCTTCTTTAAAAACGGTTGCTCCTTTAAACCCACAGATTGCTCTTACCTTTCTTTTGATGTCAATGAACTGAGAAAACATTAAGGACCAATAGTACGACAGCTGAAGTATGTAGTAGTAATGCATTTCAGGCATCAGCGGCTGAAAGAAGGGGATATAAATAAAGAGATTAAAACAGAGAGGTTAAAAACCTTCAGATCCTCACTTGAATGGCAACCTCAGGCCACTTATAGAATATTTCCTATCTGGTAAGATTTCTAGCGAGTTCCTCTCCCGCATTAAAAAACTTACGGAGAGAAAAAACACCACCTTACCAACACTTATCCTTTTCTTCCTCTATGCGGCTCACATTGCTTCCTTGTTCTGGCCTGGTCTGCAAACACTAAACCATAGCTGAAATAAACTACTGCGTAATCTGAATGAGCTGCATGCCCATTGATCAAATTGTGAGGGCTTTCCTCCCCCAAGGCTTATGGTGTGTGTTTTTTCTCCAAACAAACCACAAAAGCCCTGGTTTGAATGACAAAAAGCCAGACTGTAGTTTGCTTCCCACCAGCATGGCAGGAATGAAGGCGGTCCATAATAATAGTAATAGTAATAGTAATAATAATACCCCGCCCCACTCTGGGCGGCTTCCGGCACATATAAAAACATAATAAAACACCAAACATTAAAAACTTCCTGATACAATAATAATTTTATTATTATTGATAATAATATGAGCACAATTTCAGGAGTTTGCAGTAGTATGCCGCTCGTTCACATTCACCCATAATTTATTTTAAAGGTAAAGGTAAAGGTACCCCTGCCCGTACGGGCCAGTCTTGACAGACTCTAGGGTTGTGCGCCCATCTCACTCAAGAGGCCAGGGGCCAGCGCTGTCCGGGGACACTTCCGGGTCACGTGGCCAGCGTGACAAGCTGCATCTGGCGAGCCAGCGCAGCACACGGAAACGCCGTTTACCTTCCCGCCAGTAAGCGGTCCCTATTTATCTACTTGCACCCGGAGGTGCTTTCGAACTGCTAGGTTGGCAGGCGCTGGGACCGAGCAACGGGAGCGCACCCCGCCGCGGGGATTCGAACCGCCGACCTTGCGATCGGCAAGCCCTAGGCGCTGAGGCTTTAACCCACAGCGCCACCCGCGTCCCTATAATTTATTTTAACTATGATTTAATGTGACACATGAACCAGGCTAGCATTGACGTATTATGAATATGATGCAGGGCAAGCCTTTTTGATAAAGGGAAGAGCTGTGACTCTGCCTAATTCTGGAAATTAGGGCCTCCTGTATGCATTCAAATGCTTTGCACAAACCTTTTTGGCTGGAAACTTTTACTTATGTGGCTGGCTGGCACGTGAAACACTTGTCGTTTTCTATTTATGGCACACTGTAGGGAAATGGGTAGGTGAACCTACCTTTCACCAAACCAGCTGGCCTAGTCAGACTTTGGGTCCTTTCCGACTCTAATTTCAACAGCCACCACCTTAAAACCTCTATATAAATTATTCTCCGCATAATGTGCTAATTAAAGGGATGTATTTGCCTTAGTGCTGACACTGAAGCAGAGTTTTATTTATTTATGATTTGGATAACCCACATTTGTCCCCTACCAGCTAACGGGGATTTAAATGCTGTGCTGTACAGCAAATGTATTTCACATCACCCTTGCAAATGGATAACGTGCCAACGTCTATGCTCATTACAGTACCTTGAAAACTGTCCAACATTTAAAAAAAAAAAATAGAAAGCCCCTTCTCCCACCCTGCATGTTCAGATGTTTTTTTGTACCCTAAAAGGTTGGGTTCGTTCCAATACCTTTCAGTATGGTCTGCCTTTCGGTCTATAATCTGCTTACACAAGTGGATCCTACAACAAAATGTTGCATTGTGGCATCACCTCTTAACATTAATGCTTCTGTTCAGGGTTCTCTTCAGGCATGTCCTCTTTATGTTGTTGCATTCCACACACAGACACCCCCTCAGTTTGCCAGTTTCCCCCCTCAGTTGAAAAAATGCAGAGTTCAGTGTTTCATAGCTATATCCTAAAGCCTTGTTAATTAGTGATGCTGGTGAAGTTCTTTAGAACCAGGCTCAGAAACAGGGACTGGAAAAATCTGCCTCCAAGGAAGCATTCCTCCTTATCTTCCCTCCTCATTGGCAGCGTGTAAGAAGTAGCAGCAATGAGTGGAGAAGAAAAAGAAGAGTGTTTTCTTTCTCCTCCACTTCTCCTTCCCTTCCATCCATCCACCATCCAGATTAACAGCATCATGGTCTATTTTATACTCATTTCCATGCAATACCCATTACCTGATATGGGTATCCAGTCCAGCATAGCCGAGTGTTCCACACCCAGGGACTCTTTAAAGAAGAAAAAAAAAGGGGGGGGGAGAAGAGATGCAAACAAGTTTAAATGTTGGGAAATGTTACAGAAATGCAACTAGAGTTGGTGGTAGCTTTACATTTCCCTCCGCAAAGAATTTAGACGAGCGTTTTGCACAGCCTCACAATTACTTCCGTTGCATTTACAGAAACGAAGTTATTCATATTATTTTGAAACCGATCATTCATGAAAGCTCTCTACAATTAGTAGCATCCTGAAAACAATAATCTGATTCTAATCAAGCTACGGATAAGATACATATTGTCCCATTTTTGCTTCCTAAATGACAATCACTACATTAGCAAAGAAAAACAAGGGGTGTGCTGCTATTGCTTGAGAATATTTTGACACATACTTACTTAGCCAAAATTGCAACGATCATTTTAAAATGATTTGTTTTGAGAATGGAAGCACAAATTAAAATGTCAGTAACTGGGAACTCTTCCACAGAAAGTCAAAAATGGCTAGCTAGGTAGACATTTGAAAAGCCAGTAACTGTTTGGGCTCACTGACTAGTACCTTGGAAGTCAAACGGAATCCATTCCAGAAGTCCGTTCGACTTCCAAAATGTTCAGAAACCAAAGCGCGGATTCTGATTGGCTGCAAGAAGCTCCTGCAGCCAATCAGAAGCTGCGAAAGCCCTGACGGACGTTCGGCTTCCAAAAATAGTTCACAAACCAGAACAGTCACTTCCGGGTTTACTGCATTCAGGAGCCAAAACATTCGAGAACTAAAGTGTTCAAAAACCAAAGTACGACTGTAGTTCTAAACAAAATGAAACAAAATGGTGCACGTTCTTAGTCTACACTGGATTTCTCAGGATACACCTTAAACAAAGGCAGGGACGATGAGTGTCTCATGTGTAGATAAAGTCTCTGCAGATCAAATACTGCATCTACAAAATGTTTGCCACCTAAAATTTACAGTTTCCCAGGAAGCTGCTTTACCTATTCAGCTGCCAAATAACAAGTGAAGGGAAATTAAGTGTTGCCTACAAGTGTGCACATATCCACCCTAATAGCATATTTATGGAAATGCAGGAATGCTGCAAACACCGGAATCACCTTGTAACAAAGAAATCTTTATCAAGCTGTTGACCAACTGTAGTTTTCAATAAACTTGAGAAAACTTAAGGATCTCTTTAGAACGAAACCCAAGGCAGATGTGGAGGAAAAACCACAGGCATTTGAAAGTATGGTGAAGAATTTTTCAACGTACCAATAATGTGGAAAGTGTGTACATTACCCAGCTGCCAAGGAACATTTTGCATCCATTGTCTTGTCTCATTATCTTTAGGAAGAGGGGCTAATTAAGCTCAAGCGTCTAGAAGCCCCAGAACATTAATAGCTACACATATAGCTCAAAGTAATGCTTTTATCTAGTGTGTGCCAAATAAAGGTCAGGTTTAATTGTGTGTGTGTGTGTGTGTGTGTGGTAAAACTGCTTAAAATTCCACCCCTCATTTTGCATTCAACACCTTTTGCAGAAAGGCAACAAAGCTCTGGGGTTGCTCCAGCTACGGCATTACTCTCTATTTTTCAGCGCTGTTATTTTTACCAAGGTTATTTGTATGTTTGATAAGGCGGAATACATAAACCATGTGCATAAAAGGGTTGATCCAACCTCTTGGTCTCTTGACATTTTCAAAATGACAATAATTTTATTCAAGTGGAGCTGCTAAAAATTAGCATGCATAGCCCACACCACATCCAAATCAACTTCAGCTTTCTTTCCAGCTTCCCTAAGTGGTGCCTGGACACTGGAATGACAGGATAAAAAATATTTATATGAAGAAATAGTGTTAAAAGTCTGACACTTCGTTCCAATTTACTGGACCCATTCAGGTGCAGGAGCTGTAAGGCATGCAAAGACTTGCCCTTTGATGTTAGTGGCAGCTCTGTATGGGCATTCCATTCTATTATATTTTTTTCACCAGTACTCTTCTAGCAGGTGTATACATTCTAGAAAGAAGAAATTCTAAAACATCAAACACAAGGTGGTTCAAATGTACTACTTTAGACTGCATGCCTGAAAACAGGGGTGTAACCAGTTCTTGACAAATTCCTGAAGTTTTGAAACCCAACCAGAACACCAGTTTGCTAGAGGATCAGAGGCTTCACATTTCTACTATCCAAATGAAACCCCAAATCAAAATATACAGCATTGAAAAGTGTACTCATGCAGTATTTCCCCAATGTCTTTTTAAAAAGAAAAAGAAAAAATGTTGCTGAATTAAATTTATATTTTGCCCTTAATCTGAAGATCACGGGGCGGTGTACAACACAAAAACACAAATGCATAACATAGTAAAAAACATACAGTAATCCTACTCCTACACGCAATGAGAAGGGAACAACTACAAGGGTAGTTTTACACTTTATACGGCCAATATATTTCCTGTGTGTTCATTGTATTTTTAGTGACTCAGCTCAGCCACTTATTGTTATACTATGCAGGATGCCCGTACAGTTAAGCCACTAGAAAGGTCCAACTTCCTAAGAAAATCTGAACATTCCAAACCTTAATAAAATCCACAATAAAGGATTTTGAATTTTATGACCCACTGCAGGTTACAGGAACAGTCAGGTTGGTGCTATATCAGTGGTTTAACAAGATATACACTTTAAAATTCCAGAACTTTTAATTCTGATAACCAGTCTCCTGCAAGTCTTGTTTTAAAGCTGCAGGGGGCAATCTTCTGCATGTTTGACCAAAAGTCAAACTAGCGGAGTAGCTAGTCAGGTTTATCAGAACACCAACATTTTCAGACTTGCCATGTTCCACTTGTAAATTCAAAAGAACATTTGTAATCCATTTTGAAACAATGAACCAGCTATAAAAGGCAAACCTAAGCATGTTTCATCATTATTCACCTCCTCCTTCTACTTCCTGAAACCTCAATATAAAATGCAATCACTCCAATATATTTCTGCCCCCTCCAGAAACAAAGATTGCCCCTCCATGGCATCACAGGCTATCATTACTAACACACACACACACACACACACACACACAGACATATATGGAAAGCAGAGGGTCAGTGTGCACCTCACTGTTCCTCCTCACACACACATTGTCCTGAGATGTTGGGTTCCCCCAATCTGCAGAGGAAGAGGACTGTGTCTGAAAAACCTAGAGTGTGTGTGGGTGCATGGATGCTAAGTTGTATGCAAGCATAATATGAGTGTTTACTGCTTATATGGTATGGAAGTTAAGTCCAAGAGCCTTAACCCATAGTTCCCAATCTTTTGAGTGAATTTGTAGTTCTATTACTCCTCTTTTAACTCCGATTATATTGAGGGGACGCGGGTGGCGCTGTGGGTAAAAGCCTCAGCGCCTAGGGCTTGCCGATCGAAAGGTCGGCGGTTCGAATCCCCGCGGCGGTGTGCGCTCCTGTTGTTCGGTCCCAGCGCCTGCCAACCTAGCAGTTCGAAAGCACCCCCGGGTGCAAGTAGACAAATAGGGACCGCTTACTAGCGGGAAGGTAAACGGCGTTTCCGTGTGCGGCTCTGGCTCGCCAGATGCAGCTTTGTCACGCTGGCCACATGACCCGGAAGTGTCTCCGGACAGCACTGGCCCCCGGCCTCTTGAGTGAGATGGGCGCACAACCCTAGAGTCTGGCAAGACTGGCCCGTAAGGGCAGGGGTACCTTTACCTTTTATATTTTTAAAACACCTTTGAATTTCCATCATGCGTATCTTTCTCAAGTTCGTACTTTCTATCAGCAAGCCCATATATGTTAGAAATTTTCCCTTATGCTAATCAGAGGATTATATATGCATTCCATTGGCGCATTTAAACAAGTATTCTTGATTACAAGAACTTCAAGTGGTTTCCTTCCTTCATCCATTCCAATTGCCAGACACCTGCATCTCGTTGACATATGTCAAACTGCTGTTGGGGAACACAAGGAAGTACACGTGGTCCCCATAATGCAGCAGTCCAAAGTTTACCCAATTTAGGAGCTTGTAATCTGTATATATTTTGGATTAAGGTTTTAAATGCACTCCTTACTTGCCCTATTTTTTGCTCTATAAGACACACTTTTTCTCTCCTAAAAAGTAAGAGGAAATGTGTGTGCGTCTTATGGCGCAAATGCAGGCTGCGCGGCTATCCCAGAGGCCAGAACAGCAAGAGGGATTGCTGCGCAGCGATCCCTCTTGCTGTTCTGGCTTCTGGGATTCAGAATATTTTTTTTCTTGTTTTCCTCTTCCAAAAACTAGGTGTGTCTTACAGAGCGAAAATACTAACTTTTCCCAACACGGTTCTATAGCTGTTTCCCCAGAAACGTGCATCTGACTAATTTTGACAAGGAAATAATTTCCATCCCATTTATTCAGGAGGAACTGTTCCTAGAGCAGGCATGGCCAAACTTGGCCCTCCAGATGTTTTGAGACTACAACTCCCATCATCCCTAGCTAACAGGACCAGTGGTGGGAATTGTAGTCCCAAAACAGCTGGAGGGCCAAGTTTGGCCATGCCTGTCCTAGAGCATACAACTGAAGCAGGATTTTGAAAATCCCTATTGACATTTCCCTTCCTTTTGGCAAGGCTCACTCGGCTTCACTCTGCCATGTTCCAGCAGTATCCGGTGTCACTACAGTATTGCACAGAGGCAAGTGAAAGGAAGGCACACTGAAGCATTCAGCAAAGGCAAAGGATGTGATGTTTTGGAAAGGGTCTCTATCCAAGCTCTGTTTCAAGCTGCATTGAGAGTTGCACTATAGCACTGCTAGGGCTGGATCTCTGGGCCCCCAAATCCCACCAAAGGACCACCCGGAGAGTGGCAGATGATGGGAGCAGCAACAAACAGACCCCACATCAGGCACATTTAAGACAGACAGGACAAAAACGGAGGGGAAAAGTGTGATAAATCAGGACTGTGCCTCAGAAAGGGGAGAGTTAATGGGTAACAGACACAGCACGTGACATTCCTATTACGCACACTGCTCAAACCCAATGCTTGCAAAAACATTCT